AAACTATTAATCATAAATCAAAATTGCATCCAGAAGTACGCTGCGAATTTATTATTTTACTTTGGAATAAGCGCCTACTGCCATTCTGACTCGACTCGGGAGCGAACTAGTTCTCAAGAGAGCTACGAACTAAACTGAGCGATTGAATCACAAACTATTATGCGTGAGACTATTAATCATAAATCAAAATTGCATCCAGAAGTATGCTGCGAATTTGTTATTTTACTTTGGAATAAGCGCCTACTGCCATTCTGACTTGAGCCGGGAGCGAACTAGTTCTCAAGACAACTACGAACTAAACTGAGCGATTGAATCACAAACTATTATGCGTGAAACTATTAATCATAAATCAAAATTGCATCCAGAAGTACGCTGCGAATTTATTATTTTACTTTGGAATAAGCGCCTACTGCCATTCTGACTCGACTCGGGAGCGAACTAGTTCTCAAGAGAGCTACGAACTAAACTGAGCGATTGAATCACAAACTATTATGCGTGAGACTATTAATCATAAATCAAAATTGCATCCAGAAGTATGCTGCGAATTTGTTATTTTACTTTGGAATAAGCGCCTACTGCCATTCTGACTTGAGCCGGGAGCGAACTAGTTCTCAAGACAACTACGAACTAAACTGAGCGATTGAATCACAAACTATTATGCGTGAAACTATTAATCATAAATCAAAATTGCATCCAGAAGTACGCTGCGAATTTGTTATTTTACTTTGGAATAAGCGCCTACTGCCATTCTGACTTGAGCAGGGAGCGAACTAGTTCTCAAGACAACTACGAACTAAACTGAGCGATTGAATCACAAACTATTATGCGTGAGACTATTAATCATAAATCAAAATTGCATCCAGAAGTACGCTGCGAATTTGTTATTTTACTTTGGAACAAGCGCCTACTGCCATTCTGACTCGACTCGGGAGCGAACTAGTTCTCAAGAGAGCTACGAACTAAACTGAGCGATTGAATCACAAACTATTATGCGTGAAACTATTAATCATAAATCAAAATTGCATCCAGAAGTACGCTGCGAATTTATTATTTTACTTTGGAATGAGCGCCTACTGCCATTCTGACTTGAGCCGGGAGCGAACTAGTTCTCAAGACAACTACGAACTAAACTGAGCGATTGAATCACAAACTATTATGCGTGAAACTATTAATCATAAATCAAAATTGCATCCAGAAGTACGCTGCGAATTTATTATTTTACTTTGGAATAAGCGCCTACTGCCATTCTGACTCGACTCGGGAGCGAACTAGTTCTCAAGAGAGCTACGAACTAAACTGAGCGATTGAATCACAAACTATTATGCGTGAAACTATTAATCATAAATCAAAATTGCATCCAGAAGTACGCTGCGAATTTATTATTTTACTTTGGAATAAGCGCCTACTGCCATTCTGACTTGAGCAGGGAGCGAACTAGTTCTCAAGAGAGCTACGAACTAAACTGAGCGATTGAATCACAAACTATTATGCGTGAAACTATTAATCATAAATCAAAATTGCATCCAGAAGTACGCTGCGAATTTGTTATTTTACTTTGGAATAAGCGCCTACTGCCATTCTGACTTGAGTCGGGAGCGAACTAGTTCTCAAGAGAGCTACGAACTAAACTGAGCGATTGAATCACAAACTATTATGCGTGAAACTATTAATCATAAATCAAAATTGCATCCAGAAGTACGCTGCGAATTTGTTATTTTACTTTGGAATAAGCGCCTACTGCCATTCTGACTTGAGTCGGGAGCGAACTAGTTCTCAAGAGAGCTACGAACTAAACTGAGCGATTGAATCACAAACTATTATGCGTGAAACTATTAATCATAAATCAAAATTGCATCCAGAAGTACGCTGCGAATTTGTTATTTTACTTTGGAATAAGCGCCTACTGCCATTCTGACTTGAGTCGGGAGCGAACTAGTTCTCAAGAGAGCTACGAACTAAACTGAGCGATTGAATCACAAACTATTATGCGTGAAACTATTAATCATAAATCAAAATTGCATCCAGAAGTACGCTGCGAATTTGTTATTTTACTTTGGAATAAGCGCCTACTGCCATTCTGACTTGAGCAGGGAGCGAACTAGTTCTCAAGACAACTACGAACTAAACTGAGCGATTGAATCACAAACTATTATGCGTGAAACTATTAATCATAAATCAAAATTGCATCCAGAAGTACGCTGCGAATTTGTTATTTTACTTTGGAACAAGCGCCTACTGCCATTCTGACTTGAGCAGGGAGCGAACTAGTTCTCAAGAGAGCTACGAACTAAACTGAGCGATTGAATCACAAACTATTATGCGTGAAACTATTAATCATAAATCAAAATTGCATCCAGAAGTACGCTGCGAATTTATTATTTTACTTTGGAATAAGCGCCTACTGCCATTCTGACTTGAGCAGGGAGCGAACTAGTTCTCAAGAGAGCTACGAACTAAACTGAGCGATTGAATCACAAACTATTATGCGTGAAACTATTAATCATAAATCAAAATTGCATCCAGAAGTACGCTGCGAATTTGTTATTTTACTTTGGAATAAGCGCCTACTGCCATTCTGACTTGAGTCGGGAGCGAACTAGTTCTCAAGAGAGCTACGAACTAAACTGAGCGATTGAATCACAAACTATTATGCGTGAAACTATTAATCATAAATCAAAATTGCATCCAGAAGTACGCTGCGAATTTGTTATTTTACTTTGGAATAAGCGCCTACTGCCATTCTGACTTGAGTCGGGAGCGAACTAGTTCTCAAGAGAGCTACGAACTAAACTGAGCGATTGAATCACAAACTATTATGCGTGAAACTATTAATCATAAATCAAAATTGCATCCAGAAGTACGCTGCGAATTTGTTATTTTACTTTGGAATAAGCGCCTACTGCCATTCTGACTTGAGTCGGGAGCGAACTAGTTCTCAAGAGAGCTACGAACTAAACTGAGCGATTGAATCACAAACTATTATGCGTGAAACTATTAATCATAAATCAAAATTGCATCCAGAAGTACGCTGCGAATTTGTTATTTTACTTTGGAATAAGCGCCTACTGCCATTCTGACTTGAGCAGGGAGCGAACTAGTTCTCAAGACAACTACGAACTAAACTGAGCGATTGAATCACAAACTATTATGCGTGAAACTATTAATCATAAATCAAAATTGCATCCAGAAGTACGCTGCGAATTTGTTATTTTACTTTGGAACAAGCGCCTACTGCCATTCTGACTTGAGCAGGGAGCGAACTAGTTCTCAAGAGAGCTACGAACTAAACTGAGCGATTGAATCACAAACTATTATGCGTGAAACTATTAATCATAAATCAAAATTGCATCCAGAAGTACGCTGCGAATTTATTATTTTACTTTGGAATAAGCGCCTACTGCCATTCTGACTTGAGCAGGGAGCGAACTAGTTCTCAAGAGAGCTACGAACTAAACTGAGCGATTGAATCACAAACTATTATGCGTGAAATTATTAATCATAAATCAAAATTGCATCCAGAAGTACGCTGCGAATTTGTTATTTTACTTTGGAATAAGCGCCTACTGCCATTCTGACTTGAGTCGGGAGCGAACTAGTTCTCAAGAGAGCTACGAACTAAACTGAGCGATTGAATCACAAACTATTATGCGTGAAACTATTAATCATAAATCAAAATTGCATCCAGAAGTACGCTGCGAATTTGTTATTTTACTTTGGAATAAGCGCCTACTGCCATTCTGACTTGAGTCGGGAGCGAACTAGTTCTCAAGAGAGCTACGAACTAAACTGAGCGATTGAATCACAAACTATTATGCGTGAAACTATTAATCATAAATCAAAATTGCATCCAGAAGTACGCTGCGAATTTGTTATTTTACTTTGGAATAAGCGCCTACTGCCATTCTGACTTGAGCCGGGAGCGAACTAGTTCTCAAGACAACTACGAACTAAACTGAGCGATTGAATCACAAACTATTATGCGTGAGACTATTAATCATAAATCAAAATTGCATCCAGAAGTACGCTGCGAATTTATTATTTTACTTTGGAATAAGCGCCTACTGCCATTCTGACTCGACTCGGGAGCGAACTAGTTCTCAAGAGAGCTACGAACTAAACTGAGCGATTGAATCACAAACTATTATGCGTGAGGCTATTAATCATAAATCAAAATGCAGACAAAGTCGCGTTCAGTGTTTAGTGCTCTATAATTAGACATCGGCAAGGATAATGCTTGACTTGTTAACCACCGTTATCTTTGCTATTTAGTCTAAATATAATTAGGTTAAAATATAAAATAAACTCCAAACGCGTAACTGGACAAAAATAGATTAAATTATAGCTGTAATATACTAGCTGTACCCGCGACTTCGTCCAAGTGGAATAGTACGTGGAAGAAAACATATTTAATAATCTAACCCAAGGTTATATATACATATAAATCAAATTGGAGTGTCTGTTTGTAATATTGAAATAACAGTTTTTTACTACATGCATATGAATATAAATAAGGGGGGGGGGGGGGGAAGGGGATTGTTAGTAATGTGGATTGATAACCCCATTGCTAGCAATGTACCATGTCAGGTCGACCTCCACGCGGTTCCCTCTGGAAACCATCATTGTAAATTCCTGGTGAATTTGCACGATAGGCTAACTGACCTGACCTCATGTTCATCTTATCATCCTCCACTGGTGCCCCGCCAGCGTAAACCGTTAGCGCAGGCGGGTGCACCATTCCATTATCAACCCTCAAAAAAAAATATATATAAATAAGGTACATACACCAAAATATCATTTTTTGCAATTTTTGTCTGTCTGTCTGTCTGTTTGTTCCGGCTAATCTCTGAAATGGCTGCACCGATTTCGACGGGACTTTTTTTGGCAGGTAGCGGATGTAATAAGGAGTAACTTTGGCTACTTTTATATTAGATAAATGAAGTGAAATTCCACGCGGACGAAGTCGCGGGTACAGCTAGTAGTAAATAAAAGTCTGTACTCACATTCACAGCTACAGTGAAGCTGGGACAGTGGGCCGGACCCCCTTGTCTCAGCACCGTATAAGTGACCCGTACACCGAGCTCGTTCAGCGCTGACACCGGAGACTTGCCACCTGACTGCACTGCTTCTGCTGCATTGGCGAGAGCCTGCCAACAAAATAATAATAAAACTTAGAGCAATTCACACAGCGCCATCTAGTCATAAGTAATAATAATAATAACCTCAGGACAATTCACACAGCGCCATCTAGTCATAAGTAATAATAATAATGATAACCTCAGGACAATTCACACAGCGCCATCTAGACCCAAGTTAAGCAGAGCTCGTGTTATGGGTACTAGACAACTGATATATTTTTAATACATACATAATATACATAGAAAACATTCAGACCGATATAAACAAACATACTCATTACTCTATATAATACAAATTTTGCACCTTGCGAGGAATCGAACCCGCGACCATCGGAAATAAGTCGCTGTGCTAAACCGCTAGACCACCAAGGACGACTATAAATAAGCAGAGCTTGTACTATATACAAGAGAACTGATGGACATCTGAGAAGACACTGTTAATAAGTTTGCTACGAGAGGTACCCCCTGGAAACCATAAATAAATTCCTGGTTTTACCACGATGTGCTAACTGACCTGACCTCATGCTCATGCTCATCCACTGGTGGCCGCTAGCGTAACCCGTTAACGCAGGCGAGTGCACCATTCCATTATGGGAGACCTAGTTCTATAATACGTAGAGTGTCGCCTATATACATAAACAGTACCAAAGACATCACCTAACTGCCTGTAACTTCATGTTATCCTGGTACTTTCACTGTATCACACTTATTATTTTATAAGAGCATGGAACTGACTGGACCTCATTCTCACCCTATCATCCTCCACTGGTGCCCCGCTAGCGTATACCGTTAGGGTAGACGGCTGCACCATTACATTATAGAAGAAATTAGATTCTATAATATATAGAGATAGAGAGTGTCAACCGTCGCCTATATACAAGAACAGTACCAAACACATCACCTAACTGCCTGTAACTTCTTGTTACCCTGGTACTTTCACTGTATCACACTTATTATTTTATAAGAGCATGGAACTGACCGGACCTCATTCTCACCCTATCATCCTCTATAATATATAAAGAGTGTCAACCGTCACCTACATACATGAACAGTACCAAAGATTAACCTAACTGCCTGTAACTTCATGTTATCCTGGTACTTTCACTGTATCACACTTATTCTTGCTCTTATAAAATTATAAGAGCATGGAACTGACATGACTTCACGCCCATGCTATCATCATCCACTGGTGCCCCGCCAGCGTATACCGTTAGCGCAGGCGGGTGCATCATTACATGATAATGCAAAACAAAAAACAAACCTGTAAGTTCCATTTAAATCCAGCACCAAGTCGTATACTGGGCGCAGGCCGCTTTGTTGGAGGTTCGCCATCTATAAAATAAAAGTTAAAAATAAAAAAAAAATAGATACCGTAGTACTCTGTGGATAGATGGCACTCCAAACCAAAGGAAGGACTTATGGAGCGGCTGAAGGCCAACTCCCGCCTAACGGATACGACTTTACTCTGAGGGCACCGCTAGGCTTTCGAACCTCGGCTCAGGCTGTCGTAATTTCGATCTCTGTGTATAATTAGGGGCCCCCAATGTTAAGAATAGTCAAGAGAACATTTTAAGTACTGACATCATATGTGGCTGTTTTTTAATGTAATACTACCTCTTTTTGCGTAGTCAAGTAAATTGGTTATGGGAATTTAGTTATTAAATATTTTTGAAATGTTATCTTATAATTAAATGCATTAAGGTATATTTTACACAAACTCGTCTGCGTGTGTACCTCAGTCTCACCTCTTTCAGCAAGCAGCTTGCTTTGTAAGCTGTTTCGGTTGTAAGGTGCAGATTAGGAAGTGAAATTACAGGATAAGAGGCGTGACAGCTTAGTACTCTGGAATGGCGGCGCATGTGCGGTAGCACGGGTGTATATGCATGTATATGAGTTAGGGTTTCTATTTACTATAAGCCGGGGCGTATGGTTGTTTACTTATATTAGTGTAGGGTGTATAAACAGAGTGTGATATTACAGAAAAAGTACCAGGACTACATGAAGTTTTAGGCAGTTTGAAGTGTATCCCACTTCAAACTGCCTACAACTTCATGCACATCCTGCCAGTGAAATTATATAACTTAGAGTGATAACGCATGAATGATATCACGGGTGTCACATGATAACGTGATAAAGTCGTTTATGTACATCTATTTCTCCTGTTAAACTTACTTTGTTAGATGTGTTTCGGTTGAAGATGAGATATGGCAGTGGAGTTACAGGGTATGAAGGTATAAGGGTAAGGAGGGTTTCATAAGTGGTATCACGGGTGTCACATGATAACGTGATGTTCGTAGTGCTGGTCATGCATATAGGCGACGGTCACCACTTACCATCAGGTGGGCAGTTGCCATTTTATTTCTATACATAAAAGTACAGTAATACAATGAAAGTACCAGGATTACATGAAGTTATAGATATTTTGAAATTACTATATATACATATATATAGAACTTAGAGTGATAACGCATGAGTGGTATCACAGGTGTCACATGATAACGTGATGTTCGTAGTGCTGGTCATGCATATAGGCGACGGTCACCACTTACCATCAGGTGGGCAGTTGCCATTTTATTTCTATGTATAAAAGTACTGTAATACAATGAAAGTACCAGGATTACATGAAGTTATAGATATTTTGAAATTACTATATATACATATATATAGAACTTAAAGTGATAACGTAACGTATCACAGGTGTCACATGATAACGTGATGACCGTATTTCACGTATATAGGCGACGGTTACCATATACCATTAGGTCAGCTTGTTTGCCTTTTTTTTCTATATATAAAGGTACAGTAATACATTGAAAGTACCAGGATTACATGAAGTGATAGACAGTGTTCAGTGGGGTAGTGGTTGTACGGCCGTCATATGACGAATTGTTCATGACGAGATGTCCGTTCTACTGTTCATGTATATAGGCGACGGTAACAAATTACCATCAGGTGGGACATCAGCTTAGGTAATTACCGTTAAAACAATATGAAATTGATATAGCTTTTTTTTTACATCTTACTAATATTATAAACGCGAAAGTTTGTGAGTATGGATGGATAGATAGCTGGGTGGATGTTTGTTAGTCTCTCACGCAATAACTACTGAACTGATTTTGATTTAACTTCATAGTAATATAGCTTATACATCAGAATAACACATAGGTTATAAATTTCATGCGTGTGGAAACCGCGGGCACAGCTACTATACAATAGATACACGTTTAGTGGTATACCTTATTTTATCAACTTTTGTTATCTTTGATATGCAGAGCATATTTGTACGTGTCATATGGTTTCAATAAAAAAAAAGTATTTCGTATTTTGAAATTTCGAATTAGGCCAGGGTAAAAAGAAAATAAAACGTTTTTAAATTTAGAATTAAGATCAGAGCGGGAAATAAACAAATGGCGGACAGGTTACCGTTTTAACAAAAAAAAAATGTATTGCTTACTTTCAAATTTCTAATTAGGCCATGGAAAAAGGAAAATAAAACGTTTTAAAATTTAGAATTACGATTAAAGCGGGAAATAAACAAATGGCAGACAGGTTACCTTCGTTAATCTTCAATACAGTGTCTCCAACCTCGCACATTTGAGAAATTATTGAAAATAATTCGAAATATTACAAAAAAATATTATAAAATCGTTCGTATAAACTATTAATTAAATAAATATTCAGAATTGCTTTCGATAAATTACAAATTTTATGCTAGGAGAAACACACTGGCCGGTTAGTAAATTCTGTTACAAATAATAAAAATGGAGGGTAGAAAAAAAAATAAAAAAACAATGACAGGCAAAAGAAAGTTAAGTAAATACACCAATAGAGTTTATATTTTTTTCAATTGTAATGATAACGAATTATTATAAACACAGAATTATTTGTTATTTTTAATAAATGATAAATAGATCTATATTATATTACTGTATTACGTACGTATGTTACAATTTGATGAAACAAAACGCAATTATGACATTTCAATAATGTTGTCAAATATATTTTGAAACTTTAATGTCACATCTACAAATTACACTGTGTCTCTCAAATCATGACATTGGCAAAATCACCGATCAAAATTGGTGGCGGCCATTTAAAATAAAGAAGACAAAAATAAAGGAAATAAATATGAAATTGCCAATAGGTTGTAATGTTGTAAAACTACCGGTCAATGATGACTATGTTTGATCTCTATAAAAAAATTATGCTACAACAAAACTGATATTTGTTTTTTTTTTCTTTTGGCTCCCGCGTATTATTTAGCTTGTGTTATTGTTCTATGAACAAATTGCATGTGTTTTTTTTTATTGAGTTTTATGGCTCTGGATACATTCATTATAATACAGAAATGTTACGGAAAATTCTTGTTATTGACGTATGTTGTATATTGACTTTCTAACATATAAAATCTCGTGTCGCGGTGTTTGTTACCAAACTCCTCTGAAACGGCTTTACAAATGTGCCGTGCGAGGAATCGAACCCGCAACTATCGGTCGTAAGTTAGTGTGCTAAACCGTTAGACCCTAGTTCCTTCCTCCCGTCAAATTCAAACAGAGATCGAAATTACAACAGCCTGAGCGGAGGTTCGAACCTAGCGATGCCCTCAGAGTAAAGTCGTAACCGTCAGGCGGGAGTTGGCCTTCAGCCGCTCCATAAGTCCTTCCTTTGGTTTGGAGTGCCATCTACACTCGCCCCCTATCGTCCGTTGAAGCTATAGGCCAGCTGCGGCCAACAGCATTAAAGTAGTCCAAAAAAACTAGGTCTTTAGTTATGAAATGTATGTACGTTTAATCTATACATATAAATAAAATTGGAGTGTCTGTAATATTGAAATAACCGTTTTTTACTACATGCATATGAAAATAAATACGGTACATACACCAAAATATCATTTTTTACAATTTCTGTCTGTTTGTTTCGGCTAATCTCTGAAATGGCTGAACCGATTTTGACGGGACTTTTTTTGGCAAATAGCTGATGTAATAAGAAGTAATTTAGGCTACTTTTATTTTAGATAAATTAAGCAAAATTCCACGCGAACGAAGTCGCGAGAACAGGTAGTTAAATTCAAAGTCTTACATACATGAGTGTCCGTTGTGTGGTCTCTTCTGTGCCATATACTCTTCAGCCGGCATCAGGAAGTCTGTTGTACTGCTGATGTCGTTGTTTGAATCCTGCGCAACCAAATCATTACATAGTATAATGCCCAATTTACACTCAGCCCGAGTGGGCAGGGAAGTGAGCAACGCAAGAGTGTAAACAAAGTGGAAACACTTCCGAGCCATTGGCGCTGCCACTCGTGCTGCCACTCGCGCTGCCCGGCGCTCTCTAGATAGTCGGTTTTTCGTGCGCAAGTCAAAGGACTGGCAGCGTGTTTTTACATTCAGCCCTCTCGCTCAGATGTCGCCCGGCTATATTTCCGGCAGCGCGAGTGGTAGGGGAAGCGGCTGAATGTAAAGGCCAGCTGCGACCAACAGCATTATATCTAATATTATATCATTTTAGTAGACCGAAAAAAAAAATTACTAATGACTGACCCATTTTATGTGGAGTATAGAATAGAATAGAATAGAAAATCATTTATTCAAATAAACTTACATTGAAACACTTTTGAATAGTCATTACATTTTTTTTAATCTACCGCTCGTTCGGAAAGCTGTCTTCACAAGAAGAACGAGCAAGAAACTTGTGTGTTGCTCTTTTAAATAATTAATTCTTACTTACAATTTAAGTTTAAGTGTGTGAATACAAACTACCGATTAGCACTAATTCATTGAAATAATAAAATAAAAAAGAACATTCAATACACAACAACTGGTTAAACAATTAATAGGAGGAAATAAGTCATACTATCTATTGATGCCCCTTATAAAAGTATCAGCATTGTCTATTGTTTATGGTCTGTGAATCCTTATCAGTGTTGTAAGAGACATCTTTGTTTCTATACTTGAAATTCATATTCAGTCAAATTAATTTGTAATATACATCACTAGCTGTGCACGCGACTTCGTCCGCGTGGAATAGTGACCTTGTCCAAATAAAGAAAAAATAAAAAAATTCATTGTCCTAGCTTCGTTCTTATGACGTAGGCGTCTAGAAAGAATTATGATAAATTCCATCCCTAAGGGAATAATATAACGCGAGCGAAGCCGCGGGCAAAAGATAGTTTAATATAAATTATATGCTTGTAATTTTTTTTTGTGTACAATAAAGAATAAACAAAAGTACTTACAAATACTTCAAATGGATCTGAAACAAAAGAAATATATTATGAATATGAATACTCTTATATTTATAACTATTTAATATATACATATAAATAAAATTGGAGTGTCTGTATGTAATATTGAAATAACCGTTTTTTACTACATGCATATGAATATAAATACGGTACATACACCAAAATAACATTTTTTACAATATTTGTCAGTCTGTTTGTTTGTTTGTTCCGGCTAATGTGGACTAATAACCCCATTACTAGCAAAGTACCATGTTACACCTCCATGTAGTTCCTCCTGGAAATCATCACGATAACTTCATGCTAAATTTACCATGATGGGCAAACTGACCTGACCTCATGCTCATCTTATAAGGGAGTTTATACCTCCACTCGTGAGGGGCACCCCCTCCAGTGTAAAATATTAGCACAGGTGAATGCACCATTCCATTATTCACAAGAAAAAAAATGACCCACAACTTTGTGCCTTCCAACATAGGCTCCAGCTCTCCAGCTCCTCCAGCTCTCTCGATTGACCTTATGTAACCTTATTTCAGGAGTTAAATCATATTTACTGAGCAAAGCCTATTACTCACTAAACAATTACTTGAATGAGGAGCGTGCATGGCAATAGTTGTTCATGTTCAGGATTTTCATTTAATGTTAGACATAGACACCTATATAAATACGTATGCATTGTAAATAAACTGGATTTTATAAAAAAGGTAATTCAATTGAGTTTCTTGCCAGTTCTTCTCAATTGGATCTATATACCGAACTGGACGGTAGGGATAAAAAAATTATAATGTAAAAACTTGACGTTCATAAGTGGCTAAAATGTCCTACATGAATAAATGATTTTAGAATTTTAATTTGAATATGTAACAGGTAGAGTGCCACTCTCAGTAGAGCAGCTCCTCGCTCTTAAAAGTCAGTCCTGTCTGACTATGTTGGTAAAATATATAACGCCTTTTCTGACCATAGACTTTTACTGCACTCATTCTCTATATAAACTACTAGCAGACCCAACCATGTGTTGCTGTGGCTAAGATTCTTGAATAAAATAATATTGCGACTATAAATTGAGATGTAAGCTGTCCTATCTTTGTGCAAATCAAATTTGCAATCAGTTCAATAGTTTATGAATGTATTGTAGACAAACAATGTGGCACAACATTTATAATATATAGAGAAAAGTGTGTGACTTTTATTCACCCCTGTCGGTGCAATTTTCCCAAAAAGAGGCTCAACGTTTTTGCTTCACATAAAGATCATACATATTCATCATGTTGACACATTATTTATCTTTTCGTTGTATAATGCAATAATGCAAATTGGTCAGCAACACGCACGTAACACCCCTGGTGTTCAGGCATCCATAGGCTACCGTTTACCATCAGATGGGCCGTATGCTTATTGGCCACCATAGTAGTATAAAAAAAAATATTCTGTCTATCTCCTATAATTGTTGCATTTTTATATGATTTACTATTTATAACCACATCCATATTTTTGTGACCTTGATTAGCACACAATGCCATAAACCTCTCTTTACCGAACTCTATATACCTAATATTAAAAAACAAATTAAAAATAAAATAACATTTAAAAAATAGCGCGAAAAATCCATGTTTTATTTCGCACCATTTTTATCACTTTCGTTTCCAGTTTTCGTAATTAATAAAATATAAATTAATCATAAGACTGTATTTAAATGGAAAACTTACCATTTCTCGTGAAATCCATTGTATTGCCTTTTCTAATACAAATATTGTAAATAATATCTCTATTAACGAATTTCCACTAAAATTTAACCATACACTCAATAAAAATGCTTACAAAAGATAAAGAAACTGGTTTTGTGTTAAATGTATATTATAAATTGAATATATATTCAATTATATCAATAGAATAAAATAAAATAAACATTACATATTGTTCGGTATGTTACAGTAGCAAATATTGACGTCCATCTGGAAAATTTCGAAATTTCTGTCCCCGAGCTGTCAAATCTAAGTAAATAACAAGAAAAAGGTACAATCAGAATGAACAAAAAAATCTATATAACGGAATGGACGTGTTAAAGGAACACATCAGAAGAAAAATCAATATAATTTTTAGTTGCGTGTGTGTTTATAAAAATAATTATTAGTGCTATCATGAATTAGCCATTTGAAAATATTGTATATTTAGTTTTTTTTCTTTAAAAATAATTGCCAATTTTTTATAAAGTAACTACGATTTAATTTTTGAGTGAGCGAAACTTGGCATACCTACGTCCGCCATTTTGAACAAATAGCAAAATGACGGCCTCCAGCCAAAACGGAATTAATCGATAGAGGATTGTTTTAATAACAAAAACGCGTTATTTAATAAAATATCTATAATGTCGCGTTTTTGATATATTACAAGACAAAGACTTATGTTCACATCCAGACATGAGAGTAAAAGAGACAGATGATTTGTTGACTAATTATTCGTTCCTTCCGTTCTCGTCACTCATTTCAGTCTTCATTTTTGTTTAGTTTGCCATTGACTATCAGAGTGTAAACATCTTATTAGCCACTTTATTTTTTTTTACATTAGTACCATGGCTGACGGCGAACAGCCTAAAAAATGTTTTTTCTGTGGAATCAGCACAGGACCTCGTACCAGACGGAACGCACCTTCAATACGTACTTATCAACTGACAGAACGCTATTTGACCACTCGTCCACACATTTTGGCCTATGCCCAACACATGTTTGATGTATTCAATGTAAGTATACTGTAATTCTCTACCCTTTTAGTATAATATAATAGTTACATTACCTATTCCGTTTTACATGAAATAGATCTTGCCAAATTGCCACCACAGCTTTCGAAATTAAAAGCAAAGATCTCTAAATCTATAGAGGTTGTCTATGCCTGAATAAAGCTTTTTCAATATGGCCGAATAGGAAACAGCTGATTGTATACTAAATTGTCTAGAATTAAATACCTTACTTTAATTTTTTTAAATATGTTTAGTGCAATAAAATTAATAAAAGTAATTAGATATTTAAAATCTATTTTATTTTAAAATTGTGTTAAGTATTTTCTTTACTGTTCTTGAAAACGTATTTTAAACTATCGTCATACTCGTGAACGGGTGCTGCTTGTAGATAGCGGTCTGCTCTAATCATTATTGAATGATTTACTTTTTATTTAGTTAGTGAAACAGTTAATTCATTAAAATATTATTTAATGAATTAGTCCTATTTGGTAGTTTGTGTTCCCACATTTTGACTTAAAAATATAATGTTACAGCATTTGTTGAAAAGAGCAACACGCAAGTTCTCGCTCGTTCTTCTACCGATGAGAAAGCTTTTACGAATGAGTGGTAGAGTAAAAAATAAATATGACAATTCAAAAGTGCTGAAATTTAACTTTATGACTTTTCGCCTTGTATTAAAAAACTAGTCGTATAATAAGAACATTTAAGTTCAACATAATTTCAGTGTCGCTTTTTATTAGGGGCCGTTCAAGTATTACATAAGCATTATGTGGGGGCGGGGTCTTTGCTTTGCTTATTTTGGATGACATGGGGGGTGGGGGAGGGTAGATAATCACACATCATCGGTTTTATTTACTTTTTTATGCAAATGGCAACCCTCACATTGTCTCTGCTAAAAAACAATACATGAATTGAAAAATAGGAGAGGGGGTAAGAGCTTTGCTTACTTTTGCTGACAAGAGGGATGGGGGGGGGGGGGTAAATAGGGGCCTGAAATGCATATGTGAACTAAATACAAATAATTATACATTATTCCATACAGATAACTTGGAACGAGATCTACTTCTGCTTTTTTATTAAATACTTAATTTGATCCAGTACATATGCGTACAATAATAGAAGTTTATGCTTCAAGGAATTGAATTTCTGATTTCTTTTCTACATAAATTTCTGAATATATTACATTAAGATTCACCGTAATGCTATGAATGGGCAGCGGTGGGGAATATGGATGGGCGGGGAGAGCAACACGAATAGTGAAAATAAGTGTTGATGTTAAAAACTACACCGAAACTGTGGTGTAGTTTTCAAAGTCTACCTATACCATACCTACTCACTAGTCCTAACATCTGAACGAAATTTCTCTCATCATCATCATCATCATCATCGCAGCCCGGAAGACGTCCACTGCTGGACATTGGCCTCCCCCAAAGATCTCCACGACGGTCCTGCGCTGCTTTAAATTTCTCTCCCTGCTATGCAATAGACTTTGTGTTCGCACGGTGAATCCAAGGAATGCTAACAATATCATCTATCTCATTACAGATATCCGAAGACGACAAAGCGTGTCGACCCTGTACTCAGCGTGCCGAGCGCTTCTATAAAAAACAGCAAACAGAAGATGCGCGACGTGATATAGCAGTTGAATATGTGTCATCTTTATTGTCGGTTGAAGTATCAGATCAGTCACTAGATCCAGATCCCTTAACATCACCGAATAGCACTGCTGGGAAAAATAGTGACAATGAAGAATCCTCCACACTTCAAGAAGTTAATGAAGCTAGAAATAAAACTCAAAGACTAGTCATTAATGGCTTCAAGAGATTCTCCTCTACTTCTACTTATTGTATAGTCGCTGGATGCAATAAAAAGGATTTACATAGAATTAATAATGTTCTTAGGACGTATATACTGTCATTGAAAAGTATTTATGTGCCCAGCGAAGCACGAGTATGCTCCCAACACCAGGAAGGACAAATATGGCAGAATATAGAAGAATACAGCCGACCTATGCACAACAACTTCAACAGTGAACAAATTAGAGATATGTTGATATTACTGCAGAAAAAAGCGATAACTTTTACAAAAGCTGAGAAGCTTTAATGACTGTTATGTTTGTAAGGATATCTTGAGATATTTAAGATGTTTAAGATGTAGGAGAACCTACTTAATTATATTTTGTTAATGAAAATCGAACTAATGATTTAGCATCATAAATGTGAAATTCCTTAACTGTAAAATAGACTTCTGGAACGGAACTGTATTAGAAATGTAGTAGTAGTAATACATGAGGACCCTAAGCAAAATGGCGCGTTAATCGCAAGGTTAACAAAGAAAGATATACACATTCGTGAGCGAGGTAAATGTGTGTGTATCAGGTAGCAATATTTGAATGCATAGAGCTGTAAACACTCATCTGTCGTCTCGGTGACCTGCGACATGTATAGGTACTGGGGACGAGGAGAGCATTGCTTCTATGGACATAAGAGAGCATAATTCTAAAATCAAAAGTGAGGATTCCTACAGAGAAGCATATAATCTATTCTGCCGGGAATCCTCTTACAGATCATCTACATTCTGCATACAACGCCTAATAAAAAGGGCGAGCATAAAAGATCTCCGGTGCTACAGGTTTAAAATGAACGTCCAAACTTATAAATAAAAAAATAAATAAACAATATGTAAATCGACTTCATTTCGATTGATATATGTTTAGCCCAATAATATATGGAGGTAAATAACCTCCAAGGAATTGGCATAAGATAAGGTTTAACTTCCCCAAAACAGATGAAGGAAGGTATAAATAGATGCCAGTCTATTTTCCGTTCAATAATGTCAGATAATTTAAAAGAGGTAGTTGTACCTTCAAGGAATTGGTATAAAATAAGTATTAACTTGCCCACACCAATGAAGGTAATTTTAGATAGAAATGCTTTATAGACGCACTTTTACATAACTACGATCATTATTATAGTGTTCACTTATTTGTTATTTATGTCTTCTTGTATGTAAGTTGTTATCGACATAATATCGGCTCGTTAGCCATAGCTCCACGTCTTTACTCCGCGGTGCTTGCGCAGGGAATCCCTTCCCTCTTGCGCACGGCGGTCCGTGTACGCTCGGCTCGAGACGATAATAAACTACTAGTGTTTCCACATACACTACAATTATGATCAATATTGAGTACTGTTACTGACTTGAGAAATGCCAACAACAGTATCCCCATCAATATTTGTGTACCACTTGGTACAAAGAATGACTTCAACATCGTAAATGCTAGAGATCTGTTACTCATATTCTATAGTTAACATATATCAAATATGATTTTTATATAAGCATTAACCAGTCCTCATATTATTCGATCCAGTTAGACTATTGTCTATTGCAACCGTATTCTGATTAGCGTATTACCAAAGAGGGCAGGACCTGGAGCCGTATGCGTTAATCGAACGGTCTCATCATCCGATTGAAGCTATTAATGTGAGGCCAGATTTAATGTATTAAATAAATTAAATCATTAAATCAGACGTTTAATCTAGTAGTACCTATTCTAAACGCAATACCAAAATCAGTGGCAATATTGGCGGAGTTGTAGTGGGGGTGAAATCGGTTCAAAAATAGACTGTGATTTCGCTACACATGAGATCTACAGGATGCTCCCTACCACTGTTCCATTATTATCCCTGTTTTTAATGTTATTAGGCACAGAATTATATATACAAAGTTTAAGATTTTCGTTTGATTTCGATCTCCACATTGTTGCGTAATTTTTCGGTAATTTGTCCCAGAACGTTATCTTGAACACCATTCTTAGGGGACTATGGTTTATAACCACCTCGGATATCCATCACTTTTCGATTTTACCCACAGTACGAGAGGAGCTTGATAGCACATGCTCAAAACAGCAAAAGCTCAAAAGCTCGGCTGAATGTCCACCCCAAAGAATTAGCTCAGAGATTACTAACTGACAACCCCCCCAAAACGCCTGAAAAGAACACATCCACTGGATTTGGATAAGCAACACTCCAGTTCTTAATTCCTGAACGTATGCCGGAGGGCGTCACTAAATATGAAGTCTTGCACTCAATGGACTGCAGACTCTCATTGCCATTTGCTAACCAATCCGATTATAGTAAACATACTGACCACGGAGAAACAAGGAACAAAAAAATATTCGATACTTGAAAATAATTGTGAACACAACACAATTTACATAGTTTTACAGACATCCAGTGGCGTAACTACAGGGTGGCAAGTCGCCAAAATGCCACGGCCCGTAGCCGAAATTCTCCTTGGTCAGAGGAGAATCCCAACTCCCAACATTTATTATTACACATCTAGTACACATTTGTTAGGTCCTTTATTTAGTTTAGTTATGGACTCAAGTATAAAATGCTAAGGCCTCATAAAGAACCTATAACAGCTATGGAGATTTTAGGAGATGAATTCGCCACAAGCCTCAAATGGAATAATTACACCACTGAACCTGTTCCAAATCATGTATTTGTTTGTTGAAAACGGAAATGCATTGTAATTATTAATTTTTATTCTTTGGTATTAAAAACTTTATATATATTAGTGTTCTAGAATACACAATATGCCTAAATTAATTATTAGTAAGTACATGATTTATATATGTAGTACATTTCATACAATTTTGTTCAGACAGTTAAATATTACTCATTAAAAAAGATCCATATTTATATCCTTAAAAAGTTATGTCATATATTACTTTTTTTGAGATTCTATTTCATGTAAGTATCAATTTCTGTCTGCTTCATACTCATTAACGAGTAAACAGGTAACTGTAAGACTAAACAATTTTGATAAAATTTTACATTTGATTGTATCATGAATAGGATATATATAGGATACATAGATACTTTATCTCAAAGAATTAAAGCAGACAAAGTCAAGAGAAACTGTTAGTGTTATAAATGTCATGTTATATATGAACTTGTGTTATGAAAATTTAAGTAACATTATAAATGCAAGAGTTTGTGTGTACGGACGTTTGTTACTCTGTCACACAAAAATTACTGAATGGATTTTAATGAAACTTTACAGTAATATAGCTTATCCAAGAGAATAACACATAGGCTATAAATCTCATGCAGGTGAAATTGAGGCACAGCTGGTAATTTCATGAATCCACTTCATTAACTAATTGATTATAGTCCACTTCGAGGGTCTCTCACATCTGCCTTTATCAGGACAAAGTCTGTTAAATGTAGTGCCACTATCAAAACCAAGTATTTCTCTCTCTTCCTGTATCCGGAAAGTAAAGGTGCTTTCATGTGTACCAATGAAATATGAACTATATGCACATATGATTTGGTCTATTATTGCAATACCCCCATCTTTAAAACTCTCTATATCTTTTCTACTTGGCAAGTAACTATAGACTTTATATCCTAACTCGGAAAGTTTATATTCCAATTGTTTGAATTCTGAAGCCTTTGCATCTGATGCTATATAAACTTTTTTAATACTTGGAGCATGTTTTTTAAATGCATTATCAATTTGTATAGCAGTTCCTGCTATTGATGGCACATCACTACTACGACTGTATGCAAAATCTTGCCGTCTCCAATGTATGCTAATATAACTCTCACATTTATCATTATTGCAATCCAGGTTTTCTGAAATATACTCTTTGGCCACTTTAATAAGGTCCTTATTAAATTTCATACTCTTACGGCAATCCCAAAAAGTTTTTGTACCATAACTATCATGTAACGGTATCTCTCCATGTGCAAACATAACATTATGGTCCTTCGGATGTTGTAATATTAATTCCCATAATTTTGAAATTTTTCCCTGAAATCGTACGCAAACAGTTTCACCCACAGTTATGTTGTTGTACCCCCAAAAATCACCACTATAATCACAATCCTCAACTATCTGCCACTTTTCATAAAAAACACCATTTTCAAATGGATCTTCGAAGTTTAAAAGCACATACAATGTATCAATATGTACATTTTTTCTTTCACTGAATATTTCGTACAGTTCCAAAATTGGCGCGAAAGTTTTTAAAGCGTTGACGTCAAAAAATGCACGCCAAGGAATAGGTTCGCTCTTCACCGTCGATCTCCAATGATATAACCTATGAAATGGCGGCAAAATTAACTTCCAATTCTTTCTGCCGCGCTTTATTGCCTGCGATAACATAATAGCAAACCTCATGTAAACATCTCGTCTTAAATTAAACCCTTCAGGTGGATTCACATCGTAAAATATCAACTTGTCTGTGGTAAGCGTGAGTTGATTGTCACAATTATTTTTATTTATATCGCAATAACCTATTTCGGAATCGGTGCCATTAGCGATAAATAGTAAGCTGGATACTATAAGAAATAATAAATACATATTTTGATAAATTTCATTAGTATTTTCAAATAAATGGAGACAATATGACTGGACAAGCTAAAAGATTGACATTTGAGTGACATATTTATTGACAATGCAGACTGACTGACAGTGATCATCTGCGAGTGTGAAAATTGTTGCACCGGGTGAACCCCTTCGCCCCGGCATCAACTCCGGGGCAGCAAACTTTGGCTAGCAGGGTTGTATGCTGTTATGGCGGGAATTAACATATAAAGGAAATTTCTTTATATGTTAATTCCCGCCATAACATTGTCACAATGAAATTCCTTTAAGGAATACTAAACATAACCTAACTTAAGGACTAGTGCCGTCATTAGGCTTATTTTTTATTTAAGTGTTCAAATCGGATTAGGCGAGACATTTTTACGCATTATCTTTCTAATTCCTTTAGACATAGTGATTATTTGCTCAATCTTCTTTTTCGTTTTCACTCCTACATCTGTCAATGTCATTTTAAATATCGACGTCAATCTGTCTGATGTCATGCCATTTGAATGTTGAAAGAAAGCGAATAAATCTGTGTTAACTAAATGCTTTCCACGAATTGAATTTCAATAAAACAACATTAAAACCGTAAAGTCTCTTATAAAACAATAATGGAGTTAAACGACGTCATAGTCAATCAACCCGTCGTCATTGACAATGTAAATACTTTATTTTTTTAGCTACAAACGACACATTTTACAACATGTAGGCACACCTATATTTTCCCACACAATAACTGCACAAAACGCTGTTTTATTCTTCAATAATTAGTTTTAAAACCTTTTAATTAGACCACAGGGTGTTTTTATTAATGTTATTGTTAGTTATCATTCAACATTTGAATATAATGACTCATTAATCTTACGTCAACTTCCATCCATATAAGAGAGTGTATAAAACAATTTACCGGTATCCGACAGGGCTCCGGTGTCATCAAAGCTGGTTTCGCGGGCGATCAAATACCAAAATGCAGATTCCCAAATTAGTAAGTACCTTTTTTATTTTTAATTAGTAAAAGAAAGTGAACTGTACAGTTATCTGTAGCAACATGTAAATATGTGTATTTTTTTTATACATTTTTTTATTGCTTTCAGCAATAAGGCCGCCTTATTGTAAGAATACATGTGCTTTTTAATATATTGTTTATGCCTTTACTGGATGTTACAAATAAAGTATCTTTTAGTGGAGCTGTTAAATCTTGAAAATGTAATAAACATAATCATTTTGTATTTAGAGTTTATGTTGTATGTAATCTTGGAAATAATATTGAACTACCAATATTATTTACAAAATTATATACAACATATCTCTTTCTCTTAATATAGAAATAGAAATAATCTTTATTAATTTTTGTTTTCTGTTCTTTGTATATCCGCAGTCAGTATGTGTACTATAATCGGATTAGTTGGTAAATGACTTGAATGAATCTTTAATCAAATAAACTTAATTTTTTTTTAAACAATTAGGTGGCAAACAGCCCTTCTGATGGTAAACGGTTACCATAGCCTATGGACTCCTGAAACACCTGGGGTGTTACATGGACGTTGCCAATATAAAAACACTTTTCAATACACACAGAATCTTAATAATTATATTAGCATTTATAATATTAATAATTATATATTATTATAATTGATAATTTTAATCACAAGAAGAACGAGCAAGAAACTTGTTTGTTACTCTTTAAATAAATGTTTTAAGTAGATTTACATTAACAAAAAATATATGTTGTAGAAATATGTAGTAAAACTATTTATAAAGGTATAAATGTTTTATTGGTAAAATGGTATATAGTGGGGTGACATCTATACATCTGTACATACAAATAAAATTGGAGTATCTGTTTGTAATATTGATATAACCGTTTTTTACTACATGCATATGAATATAAATACAGTATATACACCAAAATATTTTTTTTTTACAATATTTGTCTGTCGGTCTGTTTGTTCCGGCAAATCTCTGAAATGGCTGGACATTTTGGGCAGGTAGCTGATGGAATAAGGAGTAACTTGGGCTACTTTTATTTTAGAAAAATAAAGTTTAATTCCACTTGAAGGAATTCGTGGGTATAGCTAGTTAAAGAATTCAAAAAATAAACTTTGAATAATCAAAGAGTGTGTCTCAACAATATATCTTCTTCCCCCTCCATGCGAAAGTAACGCTTTTTCATGACCGATGATTTTTTATTTAATAATACTCTTCTATACATAAGTTTCACTTCAAAAACTTCTCTGTCAACAGCATTGGGCGACCGAAGCACGTGCGTGTAATGGCGGGCGCCCTCGAGGGGGAGCTGTTTGTTGGTCCCCGTGCAGAGGAGCACAGAGGCCTGCTCAGCATCAAGTACCCCATGGAGCATGGCATAGTCACGGACTGGAACGATATGGAACGAGTTTGGAACTATATTTATAGCAAGGTAAGGTTCAATCTGCGCTAGACTTCGAACTAAGATATACAATCAAAATATCTTTATTCATGTAGGTCTATAGGGTCCTACACTAAGGACTTTTAAATTAAAGGTTGATTATGGACTGTAATTTCGTATAATAATTTAAATATAAAAAAATACAGAGAATGATAGAATATTGAGCGCGCGTGTAGTATTTGGTGGCGAGGTCAGAAGTGAGGGCTGGTGGGTCCGGTGCTATTCGCACCGCCAGCTCCGCAGCACCGCTCGCGGACTCCAGTCCGGCTAGCCGACGATGTCTGAACAAGGTCTATTACATACTCTTATAGCCCAAGAGCCCACGACGGCCAGACATACGTCATTAGTAAACGTGAAAGTTCTTGTATGTGTGTCCCCAACACAGGTAAGAACGATCCCCAAACATGACACCTGGATCGTGGTTCCTTTGGCAGGTAACAGGTAACAAAGGTGTAAAAAAAAACATATCAAATTCGTTATTTTAAGAAACTCCATATTTTCATATATTGTTCGTAGCATTATTATAACTTGCGCTGCTCATTGCCAGACACTTAGTGTGGTTCCAACCCCCCGCCGGACCCCCCTAAACTATACTATTTTATAAATAAACTTACGTTATTTTAATAAAGCTGAACTTTATATATATTATTGAGAGAACTATTAAACTGAGTTTCCTAAATTGCCAGACTCCAGTTTTCCTGGTTTTTCATCCTGGTTGGTTGGGGATCGTTCTTACCTGTGTTGGGGACACACATACAAGAACTTTCACGTTTACTAAAATGACGTATGTCTGGCCGTCGTGGGCTCTTGCTCTATTATAATATGTCAAATCTACCGTCAGTTCGGAATGATTTTGAGATGACAACTGACAAGAAAATGAGCTTGTATTCTTTTCAAATATGGTTGAAGATATTTACAATAATACAGATTCATTTTTAAATTCATATTTGGGAGACACACAAGTTTCTTGATCGTTCTTCTTGTTATAAGACAGCTTTCTGGATGAGGGTTTGATCAAAAAATAAATGATGACTATTCAAAACTGCTTCAATGTAAGTTTATTTGAATAAATTATATTCTATTCTATTCTAAAGTTATTTTCTGATGGCCTCGGCAGTCTAGCGATTTCACCGGTGGTCGCCTGTTCTATACCTGGCAAGGTACAATCATTTGTATTAATAGAATAGAATAGAATAGAAAATCATTTATTCAAATAAACTTAAGCACTTTTGAATAGTCATAACAATTTTTTTACCTACCGCTACTATAATTACTTGTATCGGACTGGATGGTTTCAAATTCCGTTGCGTAGTTTTACAGATTTAAGTATACATAGGGACGGACAGACAGCGACAGCGACTTTGTTTTATACTATGTAATTATGTATTTAAAAAATAATATCAAGTATTTATATTCACACGTTTCGATTTGTAAATGTAAACTTACAAGGATTATTTAAAAGAGCAACACACAAGTTTCTTGCTGGTTCTTCTTGTGATGAGACAGCTTTCCGAACGAGTGGTAGATAAAAAACTAATTGTTATGACTGTTCAAAAGTGCTGTAGTAGTACCAAAAACAGCAATATTCATAATATTAATACTAGATTTGAAGACAAACTTGCTGTCCCCAAGTATCGTTTAGAAAAAGTTAATAGGTCTTTTATGGGAATAGGTATAAAAATTTACAATAAGATACCAAAGGATATGTTGGAATTACCCATAAATAAATTCAAAACATCTGTTAAATCATATTTACTGAGCAAAGCTTATTTACTCACTAAACGATTACTTGAATGACGAGTGTGCATGGCAATAGATGTTCATGCACTCAATTTTCATTTAATGTTAGACATAGACACTTATATAAATATACATTGTAAATAAACTGGCTTTAAAAAAAAAGTAATTCAATTGAGTTTCTTGCCAGTTCTTCTCAATTGGATCTATATACCGAACTGGATGGTAGGGGAAAAATAAAATTATAATGTAAAAATTTGACGTTCATAAGCGGCTAAAATGTCCTACATGAATAAATGATTTTTGAATTTGAATTGACTTTGAATTTGCTTAAATTAAGTTTATTTGAATAAATGATTTTCTATTCTATTCTATACTATCAGTTATCTAGTATCCATAACACAAGCTCTGTTTACCGTGGGTCTTAATAGTGCTTTAGGAATTGTTTAAAAATACAGTGGACCCGCGGTAATCCGGCCCCTGTCTAATCCGGCCCCCCTTGTAATCCGACATTGTCTATTATTTGTTATTGAATATTACTTTGACAATATACTTCAGACTGCATATACATACATACATATATAACATAGAATCTTATCACTGGATCTGTAATTTATCGGATTACAAGATACTCTTTTGTAAAAAATTCCGAACTATAAGCAGAGGACCCTTAAGCAGCACTATAATCCGACAAATACGATGGTCCGACACTGCCCTGCAAAACGTTTGTCGGATAACCGGGGGTCCACTGTATATGTATATAATATAAAGAATCATCATTGGATCTATAATTTGTCGGATTACAAGGTACTCTTTTGTAAAAAAAATCGGACTATAAGGGGTCTTAGGCAGTACTCTATAATCCGACAAATTCGATAGTCCGACACTGCCCTGCAAAACGTTTGTCGGATAACCGGGGGTCCACTGTATATGTATATAATATAAAGAATCATCATTAGATCTATAATTTGTCGGATTACAAGGTACTCTTTTGTAAAAAAATTCGGACTATAAGGGGTCTTAGGCAGTACTCTATAATCCGACAAATTCGATAGTCCGACACTGCCCTGCAAAATGATTGTCGGACTACCGGGGGTCCACTGTATTATTATTTATTTAAAATTTATTGACCCTTTGATCTAGCGGGTATACTGACCAATTCTACTTCCAATGATTGCAAATTCAATACAAAAAAGTAAAAAATGTTCTGCCATCAGGATCAACTATCTACCTTCTCCGAGGAGCATCCCGTGCTGCTGACTGAAGCACCTCTCAACCCTCGCCGCAACAGGGAGAAGGCTGCTGAGGTGTTCTTTGAGACCTTCAATGTACCAGCACTCTTCCTCTCCATGCAAGCTGTTCTCAGTCTGTAAGTAATATATTAGAGGACTGTGGTCCAGTGGTGTAGCACAGCGCTTTACATCAGATAGTCGCAGGTTCGATACATTGCACGGCACAAACATTTGTATTCATGAGTATGATTGTTGGTGTCTGTCTGTATTGTTTCTATTGCAAGTTATTTAAGTATTAAAGTATCGAAGAATTGCTACTCTGAAGTGGCAATGGGCAGGACCTCGTAGGACAGATGATTTGTCAGACTTTTATGATATGTCAAATCTACCGTCAGTTCGGAATGATTTCGAGATGAGAAGAACTGAGAAGAAACTCTGCTCGTATTCTTTTCAAATTAATATTATACATGTTTACAATAATACAGATTAATCTTTAAATTCAAACTTGGGAGAATAGACTAAGGACGTATGGACATACAACCGTATTTGAAAGAAAATTTAGTGTTTTATTTTTTTTATGAATAATTTATTTCTTTCAGATACGCAACCGGCCGGACCACAGGCGTTGTTTTGGACTCTGGGGACGGTGTTACCCACGCTGTACCCATTTACGAAGGCTTCGCGATGCCGCACAGCATCATGAGGGTCGATGTGGCAGGTAGAGACGTGACCAGGTACCTCAGGTCAGTAATTTTGGAAATAAATAGCAAAATTCAAAATATCTTTATTCATGTAGATCTATTACATCATCATCATCTGCTTCTTCCTTATCCCATTTATTTGTAGTCGGCGTAATATGTTTTTCTTTGCCATTCATCTCTGTTCGCAGTCATCTCGTTATTTACTCCCTTTCTTATCATATCATCTTTCACACAGTCCATCCATCTCTTTTTCGGTCTTCCTCTACCCTTATAACCATCCACATTCATATGTAACACCGTCCTTAGGATATGATCTTCATTCCTACGCATTACATGCCCATACCACGATAGACGATTACTCTTTAACCTCTCCGACATCGGTGCCACTATGCCACGTAGATCTATTACAGACTCTTAAAAATCAATATATCTTTATCTATACTGTAAGAGTATATAATAAAATTAAACTATAGTTCATTCTATTAATGTATTTTATGAACACAGTTTATCACTCGTATATATATTAACAAAAAAACAATAAAACATAATTGTGGACGAGTAGCAAGAACGCAAAAGTAGTAGCGGTGGGGTGTCCTTCACACCGGGCGACGGATGTCGAACTAACTCGGCTCACCAAGGACGTGCGTAGCAAGCGCCGATTCGGAGACGCGAGAACAATAGGTGTTAGGCTGGCATCCCCACTATGGTCGCGTCCTCGTTCAATACATATAAATAAAATTGGAGTGTCTGTTTGTAATATTGATTTTACTACATGCATATGAATATAAATACGGTATATACACCAAAATAACATTATTTACATTTTTTGTCTGTCTGTCTGTTTGTTTGTTCCGGCTAATCTCTGAAATGGCTGGACCGACTTTGACGAGACTTATTGACAGGTAGCTGATGTAATAAGGAGTAACTTAAGCTACTTTTATTTTAGAAAACTAAAGTTAAATTCCATGTGGACGAAGTCGCGGGTAGTACCTAGTAATTAATATTCATCATCTGCTTCATCCTTATCCCATTTATTTGGGGTCGGCGTAATATGTTTTTCGTTTCCATTCATCCCTGTTTGCAGTCATCGCGTTATTTACTTCCTTTCTTACCATATAATTAATATTATAAAAGTTTAATCACTAATGTAAGGATAAGATGTATATTAAATGCGAAACTTTATAAATAGGGTATAGCAATCACTTATATTTCTATTTTTTTTCAATCACACATAGGTTGGTGCTCCGCAAAGAAGGTGTGAATCTGCGAACATCAGCTGAGCTGGAAATCGTGAAGTCGATCAAGGAACGCGCGTGCTACCTGTCGCCTAACCCGCTCAAGGAGGAGACCCTGGACACAGAGAGAGCACAGTATACACTGCCCGATGGCACACAGCTCGAGGTAAATTAATAATGTATACAAATATATAAAATTGTACTTGCCTATTGAATCTATATAAGCATAACCTCAAAATAATGATATTCAAATTTAATTCAAATTCAAAAATCATTTATTCATGTAGGACATTTTAGCTGTTGTATGTGTCTATGTAAAATTTTTTACATTATAATTTTAATTTTTCCCCTACCATCCAGTTTGGTATATAGATCCAATTGAGAAGAAGAACTGGCAAGAAACTCAATTGAATTACTTTTTTATTTAAAAAGCCAGTTATTTACAATGTATATTTATATAGGTGTCTGTCTAACATTAAATGAAAATCCAGTGCATGAACAACTATTGCCATGCACGCTCGTCATTCAAGTAATCGTTTAGTGAGTAATAGGCTTTGCTCAGTAAATATGATTTAACAGATGTTTTATACATGTGATGAGATGATGTTATGATAGGGACAATAATGGGTCACTGTCTCTTAAACAAACATCTGTACATAATACCTGCTACAAACAGTCCCCTTTGCTTTGAAGTCGAAGGTACGGCTGCTCACGTAATCCAGAAATCCATAGCAATGGCCACACAACGAAAACAATTCCTCGGAACGGTGAGCTGGCCTTTACAGCTTCACCAGAAAACAGGGGTCGAGTGCAGATGGCACTCAAAACCAAAGGAAGGAGTTATGGAGCGGCTGAAGACCAACTCCCGCCTGACGGATACGACTTTAGTCTGAGGGCACCGTTAGGGGTTCGAATCACGGCTCAGGCCGTCGTAATATCGATCCCCGTTGGAATTGGACGGGGGATCGATCGGAGGGCACTCTAAATACAGGACTGTTACTTGCCGTCATATATGCTTTTGACAAAAAATAAACAATTTTTCATTATAAAAATTGGTATATTGTGATTTGTCTTCCAGATTGGTCCAGCGAGGTTCCGAGCACCAGAAGTACTGTTCAGACCTGATCTCATAGGCGAGGAGTGTGAAGGTTAGTACTCTAATACTGCAGAATATTCTTTTTAATTTGACAATTAACACAGCGCCATCTAGTCCTAAGTAAGCAGAGCTTGTGTTATGGGTACTAGACAACTGATATAAATACTTAGATATTTTTTTAAATAGCAATTTAACACACCGGCTTACTTTCGATGTTCGCGGGTTCGATTCCTCGCACGGTGCAAACATATGTATTTATGAGTATGATTGTTTCTATCGGTCTGGGTATTTTCTATGTAGGAAACACCCAGACCGACAACAGATGTATGTATTTACAAAAAAAATATCTATGTATTTATATCAGTTATCTAGTACCCATAAAACTAGCTTTGCTTAGCTTGAGACTTGATGGAAAATTAACGCAGTGTTAATTTTCTAGGGGTATTTATTTTATTATTTTATATAGATGAATATTACAGTTTAGGGGGCGTTCAGGTATTACGTAAGCAATAGGGGGGGGGGGGCGCGGGGGGTATTTACTTTGCTTATTTTGGATGACATGCGGGTAGGAGAGATAAATGGTGATTACGTCATCGGTAGTTATTTACTTTTTTACACGTATGGCAACCCTCACATTGTCTTTGTTAAAAAAAAATCTTTTGAAAAATGTTTACGTAATCATGGGGCGAGGGGTTTAGAGCTTTGCTTACTTTTGCTGCCAAGGGGGATGGGGGGGTAAATAATTGTAATAAATCTGCTTACGTGCTCACTTATTGGTAAGTGACATTACAAATAAAAACAAAAGTTATAATTCCAGGTCTTCACGAGGTCCTCATGTTTGCCATTCAAAAGTCAGATATGGATCTAAGGAAAGTGTTGTACCAGAATATAGTCCTCAGCGGTGGATCGACGCTGTTCAGAGGGTTCGGAGATCGACTCCTGGCTGAAATACGGCGGCTGGCACCCAAAGATATGAAGATTAGGGTGAGTACTTACATATCTTATGTTCTTATATATTTATTTATTTATATTAAGAAGAAAACTGATTGGTACAGCCTTTGCTGTAAATAATATAAATGACGTAATGGAGTAACTTGAAACAGTCATGCTCGCTATAAAGGTCAAACTGGTGGGCCGGATCGATGTGCTCCCTCTAATATGGTTGATTTCAATGATGGCTGGCTCATCCGTCATACTCGTGAACGGGTGCTGCTTGTGGGGTCTGGTCTGTTCAGGTTGCGAACACTGATTAGATTTTTTGTTTTCTGCAATATATAATGACTCTGTATTATTGTAAACATGAATACCGACCGTACCGTAATAAGAAATTCAGCTCGTATTCTTTTCAAATAATACAACATTTATTTGAAAAGAATACGAGCTGAGTTTCTTGTCAGTTCTTCTCATCTCGAAATCATTCGGACGGTAGATTTGACATATCATAAGAGTCTGTAATAGACCTACATGAATAAAGATATTGAATTTTGTTTTTTTTTTCGAAACAATATAAATTATGTATAATAACGTAATAGTAATTAATACAATTTTTTTTATAAGCAAGCTTAGTGCAATAAGTCAACTGAACTGTGTAATTTAATTTATTATTGACTCTATGCTGACGGAAAATACCTATAACCAAACCATATCGATCCGAGAGATGGCGGTAAGCTCGCCTTCAGCCAGTTTGGATTCAAATAAAATACATATATAAAAAAATATAAGCATGTTGTTAGCTTACAATCTCTCTGAGTCGAGGGAGGGGATGGTTAGAAATGGGATCTACAGGTCCCATTGCTGGCAATGTACCATGTCAAGTCGATGTTCACGAGGTCCGACGCGAAAATTATCGTGGTTAAAGATTTGAAGTACTGACTGACCTGATCTCATGCTCATCTTATCAACCTCCACTGTGCCTTGCCAGTGTATACCGATAGTGCAGCTGGCTGCACTATTGTATTATGTAGCAATTAAAAACAAATACATCGCACTAAATCGAATGGGATTTGCCATATATTTTTATTAAATTATTATATTATGAAATTAGGTACTCGCCCCGGTTTCCCCCGTGTGTATATGTATTATTTATACATATAAACCTTCCTCTTGAATTACTCTATCATTAAAAAAAAAAACACACCATATTCCGTTGCGTAGTTTTAAAGATTCAAGCATATATAGGGATGGACAGACAGCGACAGCGACTTTATTTTAATACTATATAATTTATGAAACACATAAAAGAAATATAATTCTGCTATTACAGATCTCAGCGCCACAAGAACGCCTCTACTCAACATGGATAGGGGGTTCGATTCTCGCCTCACTCGACACATTCCGTAAAATGTGGGTCTCCAAACGGGAATACGACGAGGAGGGACACCGAGCTGTACACCGCAAGACGTTCTAATTTGTTTTATATATACATATATATATATATTGTATATACAGGGTTACTAATAGTACATATACAGTGAAAGGGCCGGATCGTAAATTTGTGGGGCCCTGGGCTATATCTACTTAGGGGCCTACCTAATTATGATAAGATAGATAAGATAGATAATTGATTTATTGCCAACATAACACAAATAATACAATTTACAATAAGACAAAACAAGAAATAAATAATAAAATGGAAGTTGGCAATAGGAGCTGCCTCAGCTGTTGCTGATATAAGCACAACATCAATGAGGTGCACCTATACAGCGCTGGTTTTCAGGCAGAACTCAATTTACTACCCAGTCTCGTCTATTAATATCCAGGGTATTGTGAGCAGGTCAAATGTAAGCTAAATTACCACATTGTCTAAACTTAATAATGCCTCTGAATACCCCATCCGCGATCATAGTCGTGCAGTTATTATTATTAACCCTGTATATATAAGGATAAAGGTGATATAGGCAATTTAAATAAATTAATATGACAGAATTGAAATATGTATCGCAAACTTGGTGGATTATGGGAGGCTGCAGTCCAATAAACCACGAAATCTGCAGGGATCCTTCAAGTATTACGTAAGCACTATGGGTGGGTGGGAAGGGGGGGGGGGGGTCTTTGCTTCCCTTCTTGTGATGAGACAGCATTCCGAAAGAGCGGTGGATTAAACAAAATAATGTAATGACTATTCAAAAGTGCTTCAATGTAAGTTTATTTGAATAAATGATTTTCTATTCTTTTCTATTCCTTATTTAGGATGACATGAGCGGTCGGGGAGGACAGGGGAGTGTAGATGATGATTACGTCATCGGTAGTCATTTACTTTTTTACACGAATGGCAACACTCACATTGTCTTTGCTAAAAAACAATACATTAATTGAAAAATGTTCACGTAAGCATGGGGGGAGGGGGTAAGCTTTGCTTACTTTTGCTGACAAGGGGATGGGGGTAAATAATTGTAATAATTCTGCTTACGTCATACTTGAACGGCCCCATATATGTGCATAATATTATCTAATAAAAATGTAACTCAATGCTGTCTGTACATGAAAGATATATTGGAAAAAATATTATTGGGGGATGTTATTGATGTAGTAGAACCCAAATTAGGGATTGTTAATATTTTCTGAGATCAGCGCATACAAATGCACAGATAATTATACCATGTGCGCTGTAGGATGGTGCAGGTGACAGTTACTAGTTTTACATTTAACAATTGCTACATTGAAGTTAATATAGTTAATAATCATTATATACTACTAGCTGTCGACCTACTGGCCGACTAGTTTGACGACCTCGGTGGTCTGTGACACTAGACCACCGAGGTCGTCAAACTAGCAAGACCGCCTTACTTCCGATGGTCGTGGGTTCGATTCCTCGCACAGTAGAAACATTTGCATTCATGAATATGGTTGTATCGGTCTGGGTGTTTTCTATGTATATTATGTATGTATTTACATATATTAGTTGTCTAGTACCCATAACACAAGCTCTACTTAGCTTGGGACTAGATGGCGCCGTGTAAAGTGTCCTGGTTTATTTATATAACTCAGACGTAGTCATATTTATAATATTAATATGTTTTCCTGCTTTATCAAAGACGTTTATGCAGCAGTTGAGAAAAAAAAAATTCGCTCATTACATTTTTATGTTGTGAACTGTACACGTTAATAATGCAGTACACTCAGCTTTATTATTAAGATGAATTAGTCCTGTTGGCGCCTTCTTATTTTGGTTTATTTTTCTAACTACAAATTAAGGAACAAAATTAACTAACAATTAAGGAAGAATGGATATTATTCTCTTTGTCCGCGGTAAATTAAAAAAAATAGCCCATATGTTATTCTAATACATAAGCTATATTACTGTAATGTGTCATCAAGTCCAGTAAACTACTGGACTTGAGTGAAAGAGTAACAAACATACATACTTACAAACTTTCGCGTTTATAATATTATATTGAGATATACGTTTTAATAAATTTTTACCCTTATTTGTTATTCAATAATAAGAAGATTTTATGTTACAGCTGTTTTTACACGTACGCCATTTCTCACAGGAAAGTATGTGCATGCATACGGCCCATCTGATGATAAACGGTCACCGTAGCCTATGTACGCCTGAAACACCAGGGGTGTCACGTGCGCGGTGCAGACCTTTCAGAAACCTTAATATGATATATCCTTCTTAAAAAACCCAATGCTGTAGTCTCGTGCGAAAACCTCGGCAGGAAGTTCATTCCACAATCTAAGTGTACGCGGGAGGAAGCTCCTCTGAAACCGCACTGTCCGAGACCACTTAGGTTCCAGCGTGTGGGAATGAATTCCCTGTCGATGGTGAGCGGTGCGATGGTAAAAGGTGGCCGTAGGTATGTCGAACAATTCCTCAGAACACAGTCCGTTGTATAATCGGTAGAACACACAAAGCGAAACGAAGTCTCGCCTCAAACTAAGTGGCTCGATACCGCCATGTTAATGTAGACTAAGAAAATAAGAAAGACAACGCGCGTAAACAGCGAGCGCATTCCCGCGTACAATAATCATGAGTTTTTGGCGCCATTTTGTAATAATTAATTATCATTGCAAAATGGCGGACATCTGACTATAGAGCAAAGACAATTATAGAGTTATTGATAATTTATAAATTATAAACGTGTCTGTGGAACTTAAATATATATTTATAAATGAAACTGAAATGACTTACTTATAATATTTCCTAATATTTATTTTATTTCAACACTCAGCACCCTTCCATTTGTTTACATCTGCACATAACTTAGATTTAAGATCAGTGTAAAGTTGAATGTACGCGTTACTAATAAGCCATGTAGCAGATGATCAAATAAACTTACTAATGTAGAACAATTATTACACCTGTATATATAAGGAAACAAATTAAGTAGCGACACCTCATCACATCATTTATAACGCTACAATGATAAGGTGATACCCATCACGTTAATATATACATAAAATTATTCAATCGCTATTTAATAGGTATAACTTTTTTCTAATGGTAATAGCATTTAATGTTAATTTATCAAATAGTAGGGGCTTCACTTCTAATATTGAATTAGAACAGTATGAAGAAACTCAAATAGATGGCGCCACTGGACACGTGACTTAGCTATATTAAGTTATTTAATATTAGATAGATTAGGAGCTCCGAAATAGCTACTTTGCTGATTCATAATAGAACTTTAAAAAAATACTCGAAAATGTTCGAAGAATTGATAAATTTTCTTCTAAAAAGCGAGCCATCCACAAAGATTGCCCTCGAATATTGGCAGCTTGATGAATGGTAAATGACTTGTATTTCTGTTATGAATTATTAAAGTGGCCATTTTGGTGTTCCAAAGTTTTATATTTGCTTCATTGCAGAGCACAGTGTAACATAATTATAATGAAATATAAAAAAATAAGTATTACAAATTTGGGATCTTTTATTTAATTACCTACATCAAAATCCATTGGTGACTATCTATACACGACGCGGCAACCTCGATGATCTAGCTGTTTAGCACACCGCATTACTTCCGATGATCAAAGGTGGAGACCAAGATGACGAGCAAAAAGTAAAACGGCACCGTTGTAGTTGTAGAATATTTTTGTATTGAATTGACTTATGTCATATAGAAACAATATAATATTATAATAAATATAGACAATGAAAAAGGTATATAAAATAGTTTCCTACAGTTCCGGTTCGGTATAAAATGTATTATTTTCTTACTAGCACTATTCCACGGTATAAAGTCGCTAGCACGTCTTCGTCCGCGTGGTAGAGTCACCTTGAATTTTTTGAAAGAAAGAAAAAGAAAGAAAGAATAACATAAAATGACATAATATATGAATAACATAAAATATTTTATTAAACCCAAAAAGGCTAAAGAAAAGAATTACAAATTTCCATACAAACTTTTCGTCTTATTTTACCCACTTATGGATCAAATTTTTATAAAGTTTGAATGTCATTTATATATATTTAATCAACAGCCAATGAAAATAAATTTCAGGTTCTAGCTTTGAAAATGACTATTCTATACAACCCTTCATCTCCCCTTTCAACCTGCTTGCAACCCTCTTTTCGCATTAAAAGTACCCTATGTTCTTTCTCAGGGTCTAGACAATCTGTCTACCAAATTTCATTTAAATCGGTTCAGTAGTTTTGGTGTGAAAGCACGACTGACAGACAGAGTTACTCTCGTATTTATATTAGTAGATAAGGATTACAACTACCGTTGCCAGACGTCCCGTATTTCCAGGCACGTCCCGTATTTGAGGCATAGTTTATGAGATGTATGAGAATAATATGGTTCTATGATAATAATTTCAGGACAATTCACACAGCGCTATCTAGACCCAAGTTAAGCTAGCTAAAGCTTGTGTTATGGGTACTAGATAAATGATACAAATACATAGATATTTTTTTTCGTAAATACTAACTACTAAATATAGAAACATTAAACATACTATATATAGAAAACACCCAGACCGATACAAACAATTATACTCATGAATACAAATGTTTGTAGCGTACTTTGCGAGGAATTGAACCCGCGACCATCGGACGTAAAGCGGTGTGCTAAACCTCTAGACCACCGAGGTATGATAGAACGAAACCACATTGTCTCAATTTTTTTTTGTGACAATACTAAATAGTCGAAATATAATAGTATATTTCGACTAACAAATTTAGTTTGACGGTTTTTCAAAACGGTCTTTCAAATACATTACAGACAAGGATTCCCTTACGGTTAATATTCCAAAATTAGCTAATATTATAAACGCTAGTTTGTGGGTGTGGGTGGATATTTTTTACTTTGTCACATAAAAACAACTGAATGGATTTTGATGAAACTTTACAGCATGCAGTGGCGACATTAGGCGTCGGCGACGTCGGCAACCGTTGAGGGCCTCGCTCTCGGCGGCGGATCGGGTAGGGGGGGGGGGGGTTATGGGGGTCATGACCCCCCCCCCCCCTGAGCTGGTTCCAGGACTTGGGTGGACTACTAATTGAACATGATGATTTTATTTTTACAATTAGAATCACGCTTACAGTTTCACAGTTTCCGCTGAGAGAAGCTTCTCAAACTTTAAGACTTACTTGAGAAGCACGATGAGTCAAGAGAGACTACATATCTGCGTTATCAGTTCTATCAATTGAAGCTGAAATAACGACTAGTGATAAATATTGTTGGATTACGAATCTTTATAAAGTAATATATAAAATAGAGAGTGGAAAATAATTAATGGAAAATGTAGCAGAAATACGATTTCGACCTGGAAGAACGTCTTCCGCACTCCGAACACCCCAAAGTAAGCAATGTAACACCAAACTTACTCACCTTTGCTCAGGAACGTCCCGATGTGTAGTACTGTTTAGTGGCCACGCACTCTAGAATGTATATTTTCATAAAAACAATTATATTCTGTTAAATAAATAATTAATTATCATGTTTTATATAGTTAAAAATACGGAGCGTCCTTTTGATTCCAGTTCTTATTTTCAATTGTTTTTTTATTCCTTTTTCGAAATTTAAGTGGCCATGTTTTTATATGTGGCCAGTATTACCGAGCGCCCTTTGCTCCAGTAAGGAAGCCGGTAATACAACCTGCTTAGACTAAAGTTCGGAATACAGAGCAAATATATACCTGAAAAAATTCAGTGAGGCCAAAACCCGAAAAGTTCGTATTTGTGTAATTTTTGTCATCATTTGATTAACAATAAATCTCGTTTACTCATACATTTGTTTAACTATAATTCGGTTTATGTAATTTAACGTTTTCATGACTGGGAAAAAGGAGGTCTTGCGAACCATAATTTCGCCGACGTCCACGCGTGGTCTGGCGCCGCGCCACCACTGTCAGCATGTACCTTATCAGCATAACACTATAATATCGCGCGGGCGTAACCATAGGCAGAGCTATATTATAAATAAATAGAAATATATATGTAATACACATGACATAATTTTTATTGTTCACCTATAGAGACTAGGGAGAATCGAGACATAAGGGAAAGTACTCGCAGAATGGATTACTATAACATTAACATTATAAAACCAACCCTTAATATTGGGGGGATGGGGAATGTTAGTAATGTGGACACATGACCCCATTGCTAGCAATGCACCATATCAGGTTGACCTCCACGCGGTTCCCCTGGAAACCATCGTGATAAATTCCTAGTGAATTTGTCACGATGTGATAACTGACCTGACCTCATGCTCATTTTATTATCCTCCACTGGTGCCCCGCTAGCGTAAACCGTTAGCTCAGGCGGGTGCACCATTATCATCCATAAAAAAAAACTCTTAATATTGTGAAGCATGGTGAGGGTTTCCAAGCAGTAAGGCCTTATAACTCTTTGCCCAATAGTTTAAAAAAGAGGGAAGGGGATTGTTAGTAATGTGGACTGTTGACCCCATTGCTAGCAATGTACCATGTCAGGTTGACCTCCACGCGGTTCCCCTGGAAACCATCGTGATAAATTCCTGATTAATTTGTCACGATGTGATAACTGACCTGACCTCATACTCATCTTATCATCCTTCACTGGTGCCGCGCCAGCGTAAACCGATCGCGCAGGCAGTGCACCATTCCATTATCATGCCTAAAAAAATAAAAAATAAAATAATTTAAAGAAAATGCACAATTGGAAGCTTTTTAGGGAGAGGTTGCGTTGTTTTCTGTTGGATCAATCATTTTACAGTGTTGATGAATTTCTTAGCAGCAAAAATTTTATAATTTCAAACACAATATAAATTGTTACTGAATAAATAAATGTCAAATATCAGTATAATATAGGTAGATCAAGGTCAAAGTCGGCCCGACGGCCGGCTGACCGCGACGCGCGAATTTGACCTTCATTCAATCGAACGCGGAACATAACAACCTCTACACATTTGTTAATATTATCTGTGGTTTTATAATTAAAACTCTAGTTATTTGTTAATATTATCTGTAGTTATGTGAAATGTAACATCAGTAGGTATCTATGGTATTGTGTAATCTTTTCGGCCGATTAGAGATATCACAACGCCGAATTATATAAAAAAGAAAACACATTATTTTATCTATTGTAACTCTGAAAGTTGACAGTCGAACAGTTTTTAGTTGTAATATATATATTTTAAACACGTAAATATGGCGGCTAGAATTCCAAAAGTGCGGTTTAATAATAATATCGAGTGCCCTATCCTTGGACTTGGCACGTGGAAGGTATGTGATTTTGTTTTTCGATTAACTTCGTATATACTTATTACTTATCTATTAGAGATGTGTTAAATAGTTTATTATTAAATATATTTAATTGGAATTTGCAAATATTTATTGTATTATTAATTATAAATATAAAATAGTTTCTCGTTTTGTATTTTAGGTACTAAATAAAAAATATATTTTAAATTCTTAATTATTCTCTGCTCCCCCTATGGTTGACTGGGAAATAATGTCGCATGCTGTTAAGTCCGCCAAATGTAGGTACTTTAGGTATTTTATTGAGTACATTGAAGTTAAATATTTCTAAAAACTTAATTAAATTGAAATGCTATTATACGGAAATATTGTATTTTGAAAATAGTACTAGTATTTGAGTATTTGAAATATATTTAAAAATATAATTTAAAATTAAATAATAGTATTTTCATTTTTTGTTTTTAAATAAATTTTAAAAAAGCTCTGTTAACATACTTTTTGATAGATATTTTTTGTATTAAAATAATAAAGCATTTTCTGTTTAAATAACTATACTTTTTGATACATATTTTGTACTGGCTGTGCCCCGACTTCATCCGCGTAGGACGATATTTCCAACCCTTTTTTCGCATTAAAAAGTAGCCTATGTTCTTTGTCAGGGTTTAGACTATCTTTGTACCAAATTTAATTTAAATCAGAACAATAAAAGCGCAATAAAAAGACAGAGTTATTTTCGAATTTATAATAGTAGTAAGGAGTAAGGATTTGCAAAATGCAAACTACCTACCTACTTAGTGAAGTACTAAAAATCACTGACAATTTATGATCGACCCCTTCCTCGCACAATGCAAATATTTGTATTCATAAGTATGTTACTTTTTATCGCTCGCGTGTTTTCTATGTATATTATGGACTAGCGACCCGCCCCGGCATCGCACGGGTGTTTGCTGCTTCTAAATATACCTACCTACTACAGAATGTCCTTATAAACAACGCTTACAGCTTCTTTATCATATTAAAACGGCCTGAGCCGAGGTTTCGAACCTCTAACAGTGCCCTCAGACTAAAGTCGTATCCATCAGGCGGGAGTTGGAGTTCAGCTGCTCCATAGGTCCTTCCTTTGGTTTGGAGTGTCATCTGCACTCGCCCCCTATCGTCCGGTGAGGCTGTAAAGGCCAGCTGCGGCCAACAGCATTAGAGTAGTCCGAAAATAATAAAAAAATATCATTAAACAGTACAAACATGTTTTGATTAGTGCCGCCGGCCGGGCTGCTACCGCCGCACCGTTATATCTCTGCATTTTAAATCTGTAATATCTTCGGAAATATTCATTTAAATTACATGCTGTAAACGGCCGTATTGATCTATATTAAATGGACAATGTATTTAAGTACTTAATTGGATAAAAATTATTGCTGTATTGCTTAAAATCACTTCGTAAATAAGTTATTTTTCCCCTAAAATGTAAAGGATAAAAAGTTATTGGGGGTTGTCCTATTTTTTTCCTCCTGTTTGGGAAACTACTCTGCTACCAAAATGTTAGGGAAATCGGTAGGTCACGTACCTGTATGGTTCTGCGGATTTCCTGGGCTTCAGGGTCTCGAAGATATCTTCGCTAGCTTTCACACACTTTCACAGTAGGTTTCACAGTTCTAATTTATTTTAATTCACAACGCGCTCGTCGAGGCCGCTGTACGGTCCGTTTGTTACTAGTTAGGGAGGGGAAGGGAACGCGCGGGAACAGAAAACAGATACAGGGTAGATTTTGAACACCTCCTTTTATTTGTTTCACCGTTTTTTTTAACGTATATATTTTGATTTATTTTAAATCTTAGACTCCCGCTGGGATTTGATACAGGGGAAGTTTTTAATAGACTTTTCAGTGTAGGGATATATATTATATTATACATATTTTCATAATTACACATATATTATACATAAAATATTATATTAAAGTATATAATAGATTTAGTACTTAAATATAAAATTTAATCATAAAAAGTTTTCGCTTGTATGTAGTGTACACTTATGTATTGTTAATCTGTTTTAACTTATAAATAATACTTTTGGGGGTTTTCCTTAAGAGATAGACACATACCATCGCTCATCTTATCTTCTTCCACTGGTGCCCCACCAGAGGAGGATGATAAGATGAGCATGAGGTCAGGTCAGTTAACCCATCGTGACAAATTCACCAAGAATTTATCACGATGGTCACAACGATGGCCCCGAGGCCCCAACCTTCACCTCCCGGGGGGAAAGGGCATCGTTAGTAATGTGGACTAACGATTCCCTTGCTAGCAATGTTCAAATTCCTGGTAAATTTGTCACGATGTGCTGACCTGACCTCATGTTCATCTTATCGTCCTCCACTGGTGCCCCGCCAGTAAACCATTTTTTTTTTGGACTGGTGCGCTTACCTGCGCTAACGGTTTACGCTGGCGGGGCACCAGTGGAGGATGATAGTATGAACATGAAGTCAGATCAGTTAGCCCAACGTGACAAATTCACCGGGAATGTATCACGATGGTTTCCAGGGGGAACCGCGTGGAGGTTGATCTGACATGGTACATTGCTAGCAATGAGATCATCAGCCCACATTACTAACAATCCCCTTCCCCCCTCCCCCCCCCCCCCCAGTAAACCGTTAGCGCAGCTGTGTGTACCATTCCATTATCATCACTAAAAAAAAACTTAACTTAGCTCACTAAACGTAGTGCCATGCTTGGGGACAGTGATTTTTATCTTATTTTTTTATGACTAATGGGTGCTTAGTAATTAAGCATGGAACTAGATGGCAGACAATTCGGCCTACATGATAGCTGTTGTATATAAGTACATAGATATCTATAGATAGATAACTGTATCTTATACCTGATTAGATACAATTGAATATTATATAAGGAATATAAATCTGTAGATGGTAGATTAATAATGTTATGAATCTACAATCTACTATACATCGAAAATATGTATTTTCGATTGTAAAATATCTATAAATTCGATAAGATATGAACGTCTGTCTTTTAGCGAATAAATATATGAGTCATCTGTAATGAGTGGAATCCGCCAAAAATATAATATAATAGTCGCTATCTATACATCTATACATATAAATAAAATTGGAGTGTCTGTTTGTAATATTGAAATAACCGTTTTTACTACATGCATATGAATATAATAAATACATACACCAAAATAACATTTTTTACAATTTTTGTCTGTCTTTCTCTTTGTTCCGGCTAATCTCTGAAATGGCTGGACCGATTTTGATGGACTTTTATTGGCAAGTAGTTGATGTAATAAGGAGTAACTTAGGATACTTTTATTAGAAAAATAAAGTTAAATTCCACGCGGACAAAGTCGCGGATGCAGCTAGTCTTTTTATATAAAAATTATGTGTCACGTTGTTTGTCCGCGATGGACTCCAAACTGCTGTTGAACGCAGCTGGGCTTTACAGCTTCACCGGATGATAGGGGGCGAGTGCAGATGGCACTCCAAACCCGCGGATCACCAACTCCTGCGTGGATACTACTTTAGTCTGAGGCACCACTAGGGGTTCGAACGTATGCTCAAGCTGTCGTAATTTCGATCCCTAATTCAAATAATTCTTTATAAAAGTCTAATAGATCTACTATTAGCTGTCACAAAATAATTGGCTGTCACTTGGTAATTTTTATAGTGTCCAAGAATATTTGAGTGGCACAAGCGCCTTCACGTAATTTGCATGCCTGTATGGTAAATATTGCTGATCAATGGATTTCATGTGACATCGTATTAATTATACTACTGTACCAATATTTCGCAAATAAATTATTTCATTTCATTTCATTTCATTAGGTACAGACTCTTATGATATGTCAAATCTACCGTCAATTCGAAATGATTTCGAAATGAGAAGAACTGACAAGAAACTCAGCTCGTATTATTTTCAAATAAATGTTGTACACATTTACAATAATATAGATTCATTTTTAAATTCAAATTTGGGAGAATAGAGTGACCACCAGCATATGCTATTGCAAAAGCGAATAGTCTAATCAGTGTTCGTAACCCGAGCAAACCAGTCCCCAAAAGTAGCACCCGTTCATAAGTATGACAGATGAGCCAGCCATCATTGCTGTCAACCATATTATAGCACATTGACTCGGCCCACTACGCGGCCACAAGTTTGAAATTTATAGAGAGCATAACTGTTTCAAGTTCCACTATACATCATGACTAGGCTCTCACAGGAATGCCAATTGAACAAACACATGGCAAACCTAGGCCCATGCACGACAAAAATCTGCAGATTCTGCCAAACTGAAGAGGAAACGCCACTACACATTCTAAGTTTACTTTTAAGTCTTTCTGTAAAAAATATAATATTTTGTGCACTCCCTTATTCTGTTTATCTTAGTACAGAGCAAAATAATTACATTCATAAATTGAACAATTTAATATACAGTATGACATATTATAATAATGATGTTATTCGTTTTTTTGATATTAATAAATTTATAAAACACATAATTTAACTAAGAATACATGTTATATGCGTCGTAAATGTACTAAAGTATTAATAAATTTATTGACTTTCACAATTAATTCTATTTGATAGCAAAATATATCAATTACATTTTATTACATTTTATTGACATTCAAAAGTTATAATTATTTATCATTGTTATTAATTATCTATTAATTGGACATACTGCCACAATTTTATTTATTTTGTATAATGTTTTTTTGTCATGTAAGTCTGTAGTCTTAAAAATTGTTACTGAATGCCATGTTAGCTGTCATGTTAAAGTATACAATAAGTAGTATAACTTACACTAAGTATCATACTGTAGATTAATTTGACTTGTCATAAGTGTCTGTGATGGACCTACATGAATAAAGCTATATTTGATTGATTGATTGATTGAAGTGGTTGTAGCCCACTCATACATAAACGAAATATCTCGTTTGGAAAGTTTACACTCTATCCTGAGGAGATAAAAACCATTGCTCCTAAGAATATCCTTCAATTCTTGTACCTGACGGGCCTAAGTAGCGAACTCTGAAAAAGGGCGAGCACTATGTAGGTCGCAGTACTACAGGTCCATCTGACAATAGTCCAAAATTCCCGAATAAAAAAAACTCCCCTATATCATTTATATTACTTACAGTCGCAACCTGGCGAGGTGACTCGTGTAGTCGGTGAAGCCATAGACATTGGTTACCGCCATTTCGATTGCGCCTTTGTCTATGGCAATGAATCAGAGGTCGGCGCAGCCCTTACGGAGAAAATAAACTCAGGCGTTGTGAAGCGGTAAGGTTGTCTATGATCATATCAATGTAAGATGTAGACTAGAGTTTCCCAACTTTCCAATTTTTTATTGCATAGAAGACAAATGAGCTTGCTACTGATGGTAAGTAGTTAGCATCACCTATGAGCAAGGGCCAGTGCAATTGTATTGCAAGTGCGTTGCCGCCCTTTTAATGAAGGTATGAATGATCTTGAAGTCCATACCGGTTCAGAGATACTATTTAATAATTTTTTTCTCTGATGGTAAATGCTTACCGTAGCCTATGGACACTTGAAAGACCAGGGGTGTCCTGTGCTTTTTGCCGACCCTTATCAAACCTTATTATTGTCCTGGGTTATTATTATTTCGTGAATCATTGACAATACTTACATGAATGTATGATTTCAGAGAGGACCTCTTCATCACATCCAAGTTGTGGAACACCTTCCACAGACCAGACCTAGTGCGAGGGGCCCTCAATGCCACCCTGAAAAACCTGAAGTTACAGTATTTAGACCTCTACCTTATTCACTGGCCTCAAGCATACAAGGTAATCATTTTGTCACGTATCATGTCTTATATGCCTCAGATTCTGTCTCATATCATGTTATTTTACAAAATTATCTGTTTATAAACATATACTATAGACAAAGTATATGGAATCTCATATTATTATACTAGCTGACACGTACTGTGCGCTTTCAGAGAAGATTCCTCCTTCATACAATTAGATTGTGGAATGAACTATTATCCCAAGATTAGTTCTAGAACGTCACAAATTCACAAACGTTATTCATTCATAATTTAAGAGCTGTGCTCATGTCGGTGGATCTCCCGCCACCTTCCACGATCTTCTATCAGTCCTTTTAGCTGTTGATACGACACGACTCCAACTTTTTCTTTAACTTGCTTGATATAGCTGTGTCTTGGTCTTCCCCTTCCTCTCTTTCCATCTATTTTTTCTTCTATAATGGTATTAATTAGTTCGTCGTGTCGTATCAAGTGCCCCAACATTTTACCCGCCTATTCTTAAACTTTATTATTTGAATAATATTATTACATTAGTATAGATAACATTGTATTAAATATCTATAGATATTTGATTCATTATTATTTATTCGTAGTAGACCACGTCTCTCTTTGCCAGCATTTCAATTTAGTTTATTACAGGAAGATGCTGGAACACTCTTTCCTTTTGACGATGCTGGCAAGATGCAATTCTCCGATTCAGATTACGTGGACACGTGGAAGGAGATGGAGGGTCTGGTCAGGGACGGCCTGGTGAAGAGCATCGGAGTCTCAAACTTCAACAAGAGGCAGCTGGAGAGGTTACTCCAAGTGGCATCCATCAAACCAGTTACTAATCAAGTAAGTTCTAAGGAGATTTTCGAACTACTCTAATGCTGTCCGCCGCAGCTGGCCTTTACAGCTTCACATACATGGCACTCCAAACCATAGGAAGGACTTATAGAGCGGCTGAAGGCTAACTCCCGCCAGCGGGATACGATTCTAGGCTGAGGTCACAGCTAGGTGTTCGAGCCTCAGCTCAGGCCGCCGTAATTTTGGATAGGACCTTTCTGATCAATCCACCGTCTAATTTAAACGGGTAAAGGTAGTCTGGCCACGCCATAACGCCCATTTTGGTGAGAATCGAATTTTCAGTTACGTGTAGTTCTAAAACAGTCCTGTAATGTGTTCATGTATATATACTGTTGCCACTTATCGTGCTTTGCTTTTGAGGATTTGATTTGGATTGCTTCTGAGGGCCTGCATATCTACCATTTCAATAATACAATGCTGGGATTGCTGCCAGTATCTTCGGAACGTTGCCTAAAGGGACCCTATTCATAATATATTTTAGTCATCATATTATATTTTTTTAAGCTTTTTAATTTTAGGTTCTTAGTTGTACAATTAGGTTATGTAAATACTAGTAATAAAGATTCATAACACAATATATCAAGACACTTAAGTAAAAAAGTATTTCAGGTCGAGTGCCACCCGTATTTGAACCAGAGCCGCCTGAAGGCGTTCTGCGAGGAGCGCGGTATCACCATCACGGCGTACTCCCCGCTGGGGTCGCCGGACAGGCCGTGGGCGCAGCCCGGCGAGCCGCTGCTGCTGGAGGACCCCAAGCTCAAGGCCATCGCCGACAGGATCGGGAAGACCGTCGCGCAAGTGCTCATCAAGTATGTAGGCCGTAAACTACTACTACGTAGACTCGTATGAGTCGAGTGACTACATTTGCGGCGAATCGGAGAAGGAGCTCCATCGCGTTTTGTGGGATCATCACCATGCACTCTAGTCTGACCTGAGGGGGATTCTGCTGAGCGGAAAAGTCTGCGAAGTGTTCAGGGTACTACCTGGACTTGGCGTCTTCAGAGGAGAATTTTAGGTGCCTGCCTGCCTGAGTGATGTGGGCACGAGGGAACTATAAATGGCACATGCCTAAGAAGAGGAAGTACCCGGCACCAAAGTCGTTACTGTTTCTTCCGCTGCCCTAAAAGAATTTGTAGGGGTCAAATCCTTCAACCAACCCATAGCCATCCAACCTCGTGGTTATTCTGGCCGAAAGGCAGTAGGTGCATGCGAGAGCGTATATCTCTTTCTCCCTCTCACTCCCTACAAATTATTTAATCTCTGTTTGTCCCTTGGTCACCTCCCCTTTCTGGGGCAGTGGACGGCTATCTTTTACCATCGCAACCTAAGTGGTCTCGGACAGTGCAGTTTCAGAGAAGCTTCCTCCCGCGTACACTTGCCTGCCGAGATTTTCTCGAGAGACTACAAAATGGGGTTTTTCAAGGAGGGTGTTCAGAACACTGAGAAGGGGGAGAGGGGTGAGGCATCTGCCGGCACCGCTGATCCGCGCGGCGACCGGCCTTCTTCCCAATAAAAATATCATAAAATTTTATACCTTATACTTCAATATAGCAATTTAAATTAAAATTGAAGTTTATTTTTTTTATGTCTAAATAATTCGAGACATAAATTCGCGACCTAAGATTGCAGGTTCGAGTCCTGTCACGGTCGCCAATTGATATTTTATTATTAAGTGACGCGGGCGTTCGCCGTGACCTCTGTATGGGAAGGTCTCCCCCTTCTCAGTGTTCTGAACAGAGGGTATATTAAGATTTTTTTCTAAGCACAATAGATCAATGTAGGTCGCAGTGCGACAGGTCCAAGCGCATGACAATAGCCCAAAACACCCAATAAAAAAATGTTTCTTAAGGGTTGTCAACGAGCACGTGACACTGCCGGTGTTTCAGGCGTCCATTGGCTACGGTAACCGTTTACCATCAGATGGGCCGTATGGTTGTTTGCCACCTACGTAGTATAAAGTTCTAAATGATGTTATTTTTTATTATAGATACCAAATAGAGCGCGGAGTTATTGTAATACCCAAGTCGGTGACGAAATCTCGCCTCGAGAGCAACTTCAACGTTTTCGACTTTAACCTGTCGAAAGAAGACTTAAATTTGATTGACAGCTTCGACTGCAACGGACGCCTATGCGGGGAGTCTTTGTAAGTTAAAATAAAGGACGGCCTCAGTGGTCTACCGGTTTAGCATACAGCTTTTCTTCCGATGGTCGCAGGTTCGATCCCGCGTGCGGTACAAACATTTATATTCATGTGTATGATTGACGGTATATTATGTGGGTATTTACAAAAAAAATCAAAATATTTATATCAGTTGTCTAGTACCCATAACACAAGCTCAGCTTAGCTTGAGCCTAGATGGCGCTGTGTGTATTGTCCAGGATATTATTATTATTAAATCTATTTTCACGTCAAATTTTCTTAGATCTGTTTAGATGTTTAATCTTGAGAATGTAATACTAGCTTTGCCCACGATTTCATCTGCGTGAAATATATAGCCTATGTGTTATACTGATGTATATATAAGCTATATAAAGTTAAAGTTTTATTAAAATCCGTACAGTAGTATTTGCTCGAAAGAGTAACAACCATATGGCTGTATACTTATATAAACATACTAGCTGTCCCGGCAAACGTTTTGCCTTAAAATAAAATAAAAAAATTAGGGGTGGACTACCCCTAACATTTAGGGGGATGAAAAATAGATGTTGGACGATTCTCAGACCTACTCAATACGCTCACAAAATTTCATGAGAATCGGTCAAGCCGTTTCGGAGGAGTATGGCAACGAAAACTGTGACACGAGAATTTTATAAATAAGATTGTATAGGCAGAGAGAGAAAATTAAATTGGTAATTGATAATCTTTTGCTTTGTAATTTTATTTAAATATACATAAACATAATCCAGATAACGTCCATAACCATCCATCCATTCATACATACTCACAAACCTCCGCGTTTATAATATTACCACAGATAATATAATAATAAATAATATTACCATAGATTCTGAAATGTTTTATCTTTGCTTTTTTTTTACAGCGCCGTCACCCACAAAGATCATCCCTTCGCTAACGATGAATATTAAGAATTGTTTTTATATTGTTATGTTTTATATTTAAGTTGTAATATAATATATGTTATAAATATATTGTTTTATTTTATTATTTTAAACCACCCGCCCTGCCTTCTCACGTGTGTACGGCCCCTAGTAAGTATTACCACAGATAACATAATATTACATACAGATACCCCATCCCATACAAGAAAATGGTTCCTTCCTAACTCGGGCTATTCTTCGGGCTATTTTATTTCGCCACCGTAGCCGCTAGATGTCGCTAGATCTGAAGCAGTTCGGATTACTAGTGGGTGCTTAGTAACAAAGCATGAAAATAGATGGCAGTCAATTCAGTCTACATGACATCTGTTTTGCAAAGATATGTATATAATAGATATGTAGGTAACTGTATCGTGTACCTCATTAGGGACGATTCAAGATTCAATGTAAATGTGTAGGTATAATATCGTTAGCCGACACTCTGCAGATATGGCTTATATGCCAATGTATATACCTATTATGTTATGGTTTATTTTACATTCCATGCCTATTTTTTTAATATGTTGTAACGCGTCTGCGCTATACGTATAGCCTGATTTTGATACGTTTTATACTCGTACGTATCAAAATCGGGCTATACGATTTTTTATTTCAATCATTATATGTATGAGACTGATTTTAGCTACAATTAATTTACTGGTATATACCTCATGTATTCTACGATGTACCCCTCTTTTACCTAATGAGAATTCCGCTATATCTTATATATAAATTTTGTATCACAGTGTTAGTTGCCATATTTCTCCCACATTTTGATGAAATTTGATATGTATACTTGCCAGGTCTGAGGTAGGGTTGTTATCTATTTTTTATACCCCTAAGTCATAGGGGTGGCCTACCCCGAAAAAATATTTTTTTGTATTATGGACAATTTTTTATTTATTTATAATGTTACATTGAAAATACATACACGCCTAAATTTTCACCCGTCTTTCACCAACCCCTATTTTTAATAGCGATATTCTTACAAATATTATAAATGCTAAAGTAACTCAGTCTGTATGTTTGTCTTGCTTTCACGCCAAAACTACTGAACTGATTTAATTGAAATTTGGTAGACAGATAATGTAGACCCTGAGAAAGGCTACTTTTTAATGCGAAAAAGTATTGAAAGGGGAAATGAAAGGCTATATGAGGATATCGTAATTTTTAAAGTCAGATCTTGTAAGATTCAGTGAACAGGGTCGGTCTAGGTTTTTCATTATTACAAATGTGTAACGGGGTAACACGTTATTTAGTGCGAAATTGTGTATATTACAATAAAATTTAACGAGAAAATATTATAATGATGTCACTGGGACACTCATTGCCTTACTACTATATCGTCCGTTAGTCGCGAACTTTCTGGAAACACGCGCTCCTATTGGTCGGTCGGCGCGGTTACCGCGCGTAGATGAGTAGATGAGGTACCTAGACGAGTCTCACGGCGCCGCAGCGTAAGTACTTACTATACATACGTAGTATATGGGTACATATGGGTGTTACAAATGTTTTTATTACGAGTAATATTACTCTGTTATCTAAGCAAGTAATGTGTGCTTATTTTGAACTTGATAACATTCTGAATTACTCGTATATCTTTCAATATCTTTAGCGGTATAAACCAGGTTATGTACTACTACTAGTATTGTTAGTGAGGGATAAAGTTGACGAACAAAAATAAAACAATATTCGTATTAAAAATATATTCATCTAATATTTTTGGCATTATTTTTAAGTTTCTTTCAAATACAAGGGGTCTGACATGTGGTGTTATGTACCTACATTAAAAGATACTTTTTGAAATGTATGAATGTATGTACCTACATTAAAAGATAATTTTTGAAATGTATGAAATGTATGTACCTACATTAGAAGATAATTTTTGACATGTATGAAATGTATGTACCTACATTAAAATATCATTTTTAAATGTATGAGATGTATGAAAAAAATGTATGAACCTACATAAAAAGTTCATTTTTGAAATGTATGAAATGTATGAAAGAAATGTATGTACCTACATTAAAAGATAATTTTTGACATGTATGAAATGTATGAAAGAAATGTATGTACCTACATTAAAAGATAATTTTTGCATTGTATGAAATGTATGAAAGAAATGTATGTAACTACATAAAAAGTTCATTTTTGAAATGTATGAAATGTATGAAAGAAATGTATGTATGTACCTACATTAGAAGATAATTTTTGACATGTATGAAATGTATGTACCTACATTAAGATATAATTTTTTAAATGTATGAGATGTATGAAAGAAATGTATGTACCTACATTAAAATATGATATTTTAAATGTATGCACCGTACAATAACAATACACGTTAAACATCATACCACAGAGTCATACGCAAGTTAAAAACAAACTGCTATGATATTAATGAGAAAGGAAAATCAACTTTATGGTATTCGAGTTAGGGTCGATTTCTCTCTTTTTTTTAAATACTATTTTAATCTTACCCGTTGCCAGTATTCGAAGACAGCTACGATTCGTACTCGATATTTTAAATTATTATGTAATCGATTTTTCAGTACAAATGTAAATAACCAACGACACTAATAATGTACTACTATATTCCGTTCTTTGAAACGGAACACTGCTATAATACAAAATAATGAAAATTTACTGTTCACAACGACTCATTAAAAGCATCATCGAATAATGCGCTCTAATAAAATCCTGTTATCGATTATTCAAAAAAATCGATAATACATGTATTTATTTTTAATATGACAACACTTCATACATAAGTATTATTGGAAATAGTATTACTTGCTTGTTCGGCTATTTTTAATTTACTTAAAATTTTTTTATATGTTTAATTTACAATAATAATATATTAAGTGCTTATTATTGGAAAATATAAAAAAGACATTTAATTAGGCCGATACAAATGACGACAATGCCATCTATGAAAGCATTTTGAAAACATTGAGCCCCATATTAGCACTGATTAAAGTGTAATTAAGTACTGGAAAATAACAAAATGAGTAAATATATGAAAATTACTTTTCTAAACGCATTATTTCATTTTAACATGTATATATAACTTTTTAAAAATTGATTAAACATTTTTGAAAACACAGTTTTGTTTTTTAAAACGTTTGCAAAACTATGAAGAATTCCATCGATACCAATCACGCCATCTATATGCCACTTTTAGCAATAATAATGGCTACTTCCTCATTGAGTGCCACTGGTATTACGTAAGCAGATTTATTACAATTACTTACCCCCCATCCCCCTTGTCAGCAAAAGCACAGATAACATAATATTACATACAGATACCCCATCCCATACAAGAAAATGGTTCCTTCCTAACTCGGGCTATTCTTCGGGCTATTTTATTTCGCCACCGTAGCCGCTAGATGTCTCTAGATCTGAAGCAGTTCGGATTACTAGTGGGTGCTTAGTAACAAAGCATGAAAATAGATGGCAGTCAATTCAGTCTACATGACATCTGTTTTGCAAAGATATGTATATAATAGATATGTAGGTAACTGTATCGTGTACCTCATTAGGGACGATTCAAGATTCAATGTAAATGTGTAGGTATAATATCGTTAGCCGACACTCTGCAGATATGGCTTATGTGCCAATGTATATACCTATTATGTTATGGTTTATTTTACATTCCATGCCTATTTTTTTGATATGTTGTAACGCGTCTGCGCTATACGTATAGCCCGATTTTGATACTTTTATACTCGTACGTATCAAAATCGGGCTATATGATTTTTTATTTCAATCGTTATGTGTAAGAGACTGGTTTTAGCTACAATTAATTTACTGGTATATACCTCATGTATTCTACGATGTACCCCTCTTTTCCCTAATGAGAATTCCGCTATATCTTATATATAAATTTTGTATCACAGTGTTAGTTGCCATATTTCTCCCACATTTTGATGAAATTTGATATGTATACTTGCCAGGTCTGAGGTAGGGTTGTTATCTATTTTTTATACCCCTAAGTCATAGGGGTGGCCTACCCCGAAAAAATATTTTTTTGTATTATGGACAATTTTTTATTTATTTATAATGTTACATTGAAAATACATACACGCCTAAATTTTCACCCGTCTTTCACCAACCCCTATTTTTAATAGCGATATTCTTACAAATATTATAAATGCTAAAGTAACTTAGTCTACTACGCCAAAACTACTGAACTGATTTAATTGAAATTTGGTAGACAGATAATGTAGACCCTGAGAAAGGCTACTTTTTAATGCGAAAAAGTATTGAAAGGGGAAATGAAAGGCTATATGAGGCTATCGTAATTTTTAAAGTCAGATCTTGTAAGATTAAGTGAACAGGGTTGGTCTAGGTTTTTCATTATTAGAAATGTGTAACGGGGTAACACGTTATTTAGTGCGAAATTGTGTATATTACAATAAAATTTAACGAGAAAATATTATAATGATGTCACTGGGACACTCATTGCCTTACTACTATATCGTCCGTTAGTCGCGAACTTTCTGGAAACACGAGAGGCGCGCTCCTATTGGTTAGTAGATGAGGTAGACGAGTCTCACGGCGCCGCAGCGTAAGTACTTACTATACATACGTAGTATACATATGGGTGTTACAAATGTTTTTATTACGAGTAATATTACTCTGTTATCTAAAGCAAGTAATGTGTGCTTATTTTGAACTTGATAACATTCTGAATTACTCGTATATTTCTCAATATCTTTAGCGGTATAAACCAGGTTACGTACTACTACTAGTATTGTTAGTGAGGGATAAAGTTGATGAACAAAAATAAAACAATATTCATATTAAAAATATATTCATCTAATATTTTTGGCATTATTTTTAAGTTTCTTCCAAATACAAGGGGTCTGACATGGGGTGTTATGTACCTACATTAAAAGATACTTTTTGAAATGTATGAAATGTATGTACCTACATTAAAAGATAATTTTTGACATGTATGAAATGTATGTACCTACATAAAAAGTTCATTTTTGAAATGTATGAAATAAATGTATGTATGTACCTACATTAGAAAATAATTTTTGACATGTATGAAATGTATGTACCTACATTAAAATATAATTTTTTAAATGTATGAGATGTATGAAAGAAATGTATGTACCTACATAAAAAGTTCATTTTTGAAATGTATGAAATGTATGTACCTACAAGTTCATTTTTGAAATGTATGAAATTTATGAAAGAAATGTATGTATGTACCTACATAAAAAGTTCTTTTTTGAAATGTATGAAATGTATGAAAGAAATGTATGTACCTACATTAAAAGATAATTTTTGACATGTATGAAATGTATGAAAGAAATGTGTGTACCTACATTAAAATATAATTTTTGACATGTATGAAATGTACAATAACAATACACGTTAAACATCATACCACAGAGTCATACGCAAGTTAAAAACAAACTGCTATGATATATTAATGAGAAAGGAAAATCAACTTTATGGTATTCGAGTTAGGGTCGATTTCTCTCTTTTTTTTAAATACTATTTTAATCTTACCAGTTGCCAGTATTCGAAGACAGCTACGATTCGTACTCGATATTTTAAATTATTATGTAATCGATTATTCAGTACAAATGTAAATAACCAACGACACTAATAATGTACTACTATATTCCGTTCTTTGAAACGGAACACTGCTATAATACATAATAATGAAAATTTACTGTTCACAACGACTCATTAAAAGCATCATCGAATAATGCGCTGTAATAAAATCCTGTTATCGATTATTCAAAAAAATCGATAATACATGTATTTATTTTTAATATGACAACACTTCATACATAAGTATTATTGGAAATAGTATTACTTGCTTGTTCGGCTATTTTTAATTTACTTAAAATTTTTTTATATGTTTAATTTACAATAATAATATATTAAGTGCTTATTATTGGAAAATATAAAAAAGACATTTAATTAGGCCGATACACATGACGACAATGCCATCTATGAAAGCATTTTGAAAACATTGAGCCCCATATTAGCACTGATTAAAGTGTAATTAAGTACTGGAAAATAACAAAATGAGTAAATATATGAAAATTACTTTTCTAAACGTATTATTTCATTTTAACATGTATATATAACTTTTTAAAAATTGATTAAACATTTTTGAAAACACAGTTCTGTTTTTTAAAACGTTTGCAAAACTATGAAGAATTCCATCGATACCAATCACGCCATCTATATGCAACTTTTAGCAATAATAATGGCTACTTCCTCATTGAGTGCCACTGGCAAAAGTAAGCAAAGCTCTTACCCCCTCCATTCATGCTTACGTAAACATTTTTCAATTAATGTATTTTTTAAAAGACAATGTGTGTGTTGCCATTCGTAAAAAATGTAAATAACTAGCGATGACGTAGTCATCATCTAGACTACCCCCATGTCATCCAAAATAAGCAAAGCAAAGACCCCCCGACCCCACAGTGCTTACGTAATATATGAACGGCTCCTTATATATATATATATATATACACACACTAGCTGTTTGACCTCCACGCGGTTCCTCCTGGAAACCATCCAGATAAATTCCTAGTGAATTTGTCACGATGACCTCATCTCATATTCAACCTATCATCCTCCACTGGTGCCCCGCCAGCGTAAACCGTTAGCGCAGGTGGGTGCATCATTCCATTATAATCCACAAAAAAAAACACACTAGCTGTGCCAGCGACTTCGCCCGCGTTTGATTTATAGCCTATATGTTATTCTGATGTATAAACTATATTACAGTAAAGCTTAATTAAAATCCGTTCAGTAGTTTTTGCGTGAAAGCGTAACAAACTTTCGCGTTTATAACTTTGACAAGATAAACCATCCTCTTGAATCACATACATTAAAATTCGTTCCGTAATTTAAAGTAATTAGTTATTTTAAATTATATTAGAAAAAAGGCACATATTAAATATATATACATATATATATGTATTATTTTCTATGTAATCAATACTTAAGCCTTAATTTTTGTTTATTTATGTAATTGTATATGTATTTTATACGGGTATATAATAATATGAATAATATTATTTTTCTGTATTTATCCATATTTGTTTTTCTTTATATATTAATTGTTAAATTGCACCGCCTTATTATTATCTCTGATCAACGCGACGGTTGACTGGTAGAGAATGCCATCAGGCATTAAGTCCGCCTTGTACACATTTTTGTGTGCAAAAGAATAAATAAATAAATAAATACCTACTTTAGAAAACGAGGAAAATGTTAGGACACTTGATACGGCGCGCTGAAGTTATGAAAATTACTTTTGAGGGAAAAATAGAAGGGTACAGGGTGAAGGCAAACCCAAGGAACAGCTACATCAAGCAAATCAAGACAAAATTCATGTCGTATCAACGTTTAAAGAGCATGATGGAAGAACGTGGTAATAGCTCCACCGACAAGAATGTGGCTCTAAATTATGAATAAAAATGAAATTTATTCTTAAATTTTTTTCACTTCGTTCTCAAATTACCATAGGTTATAAAGTTTTTTCTATTTTTATGTAATGGGAAACGCAAACAAGCAACAGGTGATAAATGATAAAAATCGTTATATTTTATTCATTATTGAGAATTTTGGACTACTTTTTGGGTGCTTAGATCTGTAGTGCTACAGATCTAAGCACCTACACAGATCTATTATGCTCGCCGTTTTTCAGAGTTCGCTACCTAGACCCATTAGGGACAAAAATTGTAAGATATTCTTAGGTTGGTTTTTATTTACACAGGATAGAGTGTATACTTTACAAATGAGATATTTCGTTTATGCATCAGAGGATTACAACCACATAAGATGTGTAGTAGTGTTTCCTCTACATCTTGGCAAAATTGTTACATACGAACATTATATTGAAAAGCGTTATCACGTCATCACGAGATGCCCATGATACCTTATAAATCCCTGCCTTTCCGAAGCACTAACATGTTATATTTATGAGAGATTAATTTCCATATTTTTTTATATAGTCAAAGTTGTCTATAGTTAATATAAAAACATCTAAAATGGGTATCAGTTGTATTTTCATGGTATATGGTAGTCATTTGTATAATTTGTTTGATTGGACCAACTAACCCAATAATCACTATGTTTATTTGGACCATGTCTGATCTGTGCTAGGTTATGACAGTTTGTGTTAGTTGGTATCAACCACAGACTATACTCCTTGCTCCCCGTCCCCCACCTCATTCCACCCCATTCTAAATAGATAGCGCATATCTCTCTTATCAATAATAAACATTTTACGAGTTTAAAAAATAGTTTGTCGTTACTAGAGACCAGACGTAGTATTACGTTCTGCTCGTATTTAATTCATAGTGTATATATTAATTGTTTGCTGGTATTTTAATTCTATTATAATAAAATAACCTCATATTAATTTACTTCGAAATATTATTCAAAGCATAAAATATTTTATAAATATGGCTTCAAGAGTTCCAAGAGTGAGATTCAACAATAATCTGGAGTGCCCTATACTTGGTCTTGGTACGTGGAAGGTAAGTAAAAAAATTTTACTATTCTAACATTTTTAACATAAGAGTAAGTGATAATATTCCTAAACATTTTGTATCGATTAGATTTGAACACACGATAGTAACTATATATATTAGACTACGATTACTTTATCGTCCGTTGAAGCTGTAAAGGCCAGCTGCGGCCAGCAGCCTTAGAGTAGTCCGATAAAAAAAAATGTAAAAAAATATTCCGAGTCTCCATTTTATTTTTCTAAGTTATGTCCTTTTATATATAATCTGTATAATAAAGAATTACAAACAAGCGAAATGACGGCTTCGGTGATCGATCTATTTAGCATATGTGCTAACTTTAAATTAAATTACTTTGTTTTTGAAAAATATCTATTTTTTACACAAAATATTAAACCTCTAAAATTATAATTATTGATAAGTATTTAAGTACACATATTATTGGAAATCAATTTTTTTTTTAATTCTTATTTATTTATTTGTAACATTACTGTTTAGATTTGATACTTATTTGAATATCTTGCACATACTTAATAAAAGCATCACAAAATATGATATCATCATAAATAAATATTATTGCACCGGATTTTCATTTAATGCTAGACATAGACACCTATATAAAATATCTACACATTGTAAATAAACTGGCATTTTAAAAAAAAGTAATTCAATTGAGTTTCTTGCCAGTTCTTCTCAATTGGATCTATATATCGAACTGGATGTTAGGGAAAAAAATATAATGTAAAAACTTGACATTCATAAGCGGCTAAAATGGTCCTACATGAATAAATGATTTTTTAATTTGAATTTGAATTTATTAAATGCTATTCACAAGTATTCACTTAATTATTAATTTTATATTATCTAATTGAACACATAATGAATGAATGAGAAACTTTTAATGTCACAGATAACGATAGTTACTTAAATTAATTTGTATGTGAATGATACTATCAAAATTGTTCCTACTTGATTGCCACCATCGTAGTATAAAAAAAAAATTATAATGTAAAGAAATAGTAGGAAAGAGGGGGAGGGGAAGACCAAGGCACAGCTACATCAAACAAATTAAGAAGAAAATGGGAGTCATAACGTATCAAGAATTAAAGAGCATGATGGAAGATCGCAGAAAGTGGCAAGAGCTCCACTGACGAGAGATAGCTCTTAAATTATGAATTTATTTGTTTATTTATTTATTTAAACACTAGCTGTCCCGGAAAAAAATTGTTTTGCCATATAAATTAATAACGCTTTAAAAAAATAGGGGTTGATAGTAGGGTGAAAATTTAGGATAGTATGTATTTTTGTATGTCATATCATAAAAAAATAGAAATTAAAAATTTTGTCTAAAAAATAAAAAATAAAAATTAGGGGTGGGCTACCCCTAACATTTAGGGGGATGAAAAATAGATGTTGGCCGATTCTCAGACCTACTCAATACGCTCACAAAATTTCATGAGAATCGGTCAAGCCGTTTCGGAGGAGTATGGGAACGAAAACTGTGACACGAGAATTTTATATATAATATAAAAATAATAGTAAAAATATAAAGATGAATTGTATGGATGGTGATAAAAAATCATGACATACATAAGATGGCTGAAAGCATCCTGTAGGTTATTCATACAATGTATGAATTGTCATGTCATGATTTTTTATCACCGTCCATACAATTCATCTTTATATTTTTTGCTTGTTACCAATACAAGTATTTGATAATGTTGTTTGTATGTATGTATGAGATAACAATCACTGAATACGGAAAAATGTTCAGATTTGTTATCATTATACCTAATATATAATGTCATACTCGTGAACGGGTGTAAGGACTGACTGTGTTACTCCTTATTACATCAGCTACCTGCCAATAAAAGTCTCGCCAAAATCGGTGCAGCCATTTCAGAGGTTAGCCGGAACAAACAGACAGACAGACAAAAATTGTAAAAAATGTTATTTTGGTGTATGTACCGTATTTATATTCATATACATATAGTAAAAAACTGTTATTTCAATATTACAAACAGACACTCCAATTTTATTTATATGTATAGATATTTTTAAAGGAGCAACACACAAGTTTCTTTCTCGTTCTTGTGATGAGTCTATATTCCAAATGAGTGGTAGAATAAAAAAAAAGTCATATATTATACAAATATAAAAACAAAGTGCTTGTATTGAGTTTATTTGTATAAATATTATTTCTATTTCTATTATACATTTTTATATCAGTTTCCACTTGCCAATACAAGTGTTTGATAATGCTGTAGGTGTTTGTGATAAGAATCATTGGAGACGGAAAATTAGGATTTATTGCGCAACAGATTACAGTATATCTCATGATGTAATATATATATCACGCACACATAATGATAATTATGTGTGACAAATCCGTACCGACTCATAGAGCAGTGGTTCCCAAACTTTGACCCCGTGGGTCACTAGATTGGATTGCAAATTATTGCGCAATAATAAATTACAGTATATCTCTTGATTTAATAGATATATCACGCACACATAATAATAATTATATGTGATTAATGCGTGCTGACTCATAGAGCAGTGGTTCCCAAACTTTGACCCCGTGGGTCACTAGATTGGATTGCAAATTATTGCGCAATAATAGATTACAGTATATCTCTTAATTTAATAGATATATCATGCACACATAATAATAATTATATGTGATTAATCCGTGGTGACTCATAGAGCAGTGGTTCCCAAATTGTTATCTCGTGGGTAGCTAGATTGTATTGGTAATTATAGATTACAGTATATCTCGTGATGTAATAGATATATCACGCACACAATAATAATTATATGTGATTAATGCGTGCTGACTCATAGAGCAGTGGTTCCCAAACTTTGACCCCGTGGGTCACTAGATTGGATTGCAAATTATTGCGCAATAATAGATTACAGTATATCTCTTAATTTAATAGATATATCATGCACACATAATAATAATTATATGTGATTAATCCGTGGTGACTCATAGAGCAGTGGTTCCCAAATTGTTATCTCGTGGGTAGCTAGATTGTATTGGTAATTATAGATTACAGTATATCTCGTGATGTAATAGATATATCACGCACACAATAATAATTATATGTGATTAATCCGTGGTGTCTCATAGAGCAGTGATTCCCAAACATTAACCACGTGGTCACTAGATTGGATTGCAAATTATTGAGCAACAATAGATTGCAGTACATCTCGTGATTTAATAAATATATCACGCACACATAATAATAATTATGTGTGACAAAACCGTGCATATTCATAAAGCAGTGGTTCCTAAACTGTTACCTCGTGGGTCACTAGATTGTATTGCTAATTATTGCGCAATAATAGATAACAGTATATCTCGTATATACATATATCATGCAATCATAATAATACCCCTACGATTTATCCCCCGCCCAATTCAAACGGGGATTGATATTATGACGGCCTGAGGTGAGGTTCGAACCCCTGACGGTGCCCTCACACTACAGTCGTATCCGTCAGGCGGGAGTTGGCCTTCAGCCGCTCCATAAGTTCTTCCTTTGGTTTGGAGTGTCATCTACACTCGCACTTTATCGTCCGGTGAAGCTGTAAAGATCAGCTGGCAGGGCAACAGTCGAAAAAAATCATAATAATGATTATGTGTGACAAATCCGTACTGATTGGTAGAACAGTGGTTCCCAAACTGTTACCTCGTGGGTCACTGAATTGCATTGCTAATATATTTTATTTTATTTATATAACTCACACCGATATAAACAATCGTACTCACAAATAAAAATGTTTGCTTTTGACAAAATTGCAATATTTACTATTGCATATGCACTTTATTCTCCCAAATTTGAATTTCAAAATGTATCTGTATTATTGTAAACATGTACAACTATATTTGAAAATAATACGAGCTGAGTTTCTTGTCAGTTCTCATCTCGAAATCATTCTGAACTGACGGTAGATTTGACATACCATAAGTCTGCAATAGACCTACACGAATACAGATATTTTGGTTTGACTTGACGTTGCGAGGAATCGAACCCGCGACTATTAGAAATAAATTAGTGTAAAACCGCTAGATCACCGAAGTCGTCGGATGTCCATACATGTCCATAAACAAACAAAGTAATAGAGCAAGAAAACTGTCTGGCAATTTAGGAAACTCAGTCTGAGAGAACTCTCAATAATATATATAAATTTCAGCTTTATTAAAATGACGTAAGTTTATTTATAAAATAGTATAGTTTAGGGGGGTCCGGCGGGGGGTTGGAACCACACTAAGTGTCTGGCAATGAGCAGCGCAAGTTATAATAATGCTACGAACAACATATGAAAATATGGAGTTTCTTAAAATAACGAATTTGATATGTTTTTTTTACACCTTTGTTACCTGTTACCTGCCAAATGAACCACGATCCAGGTTTCATGTTTGGGGATCGTTCTTACCTGTGTTGGGGACACACATACAAGAACTTTCACGTTTACTACAATGACGTATGTCAGGCCGTCGTGGGCTCTTGGGCTATAAGCTTTCTGGTTTAATGTTAAATTAAATATTTCCAGTCGAAACCAGGTGAGGTGACGCAAGCTGTGAGCGACGCCATAGACATAGGTTATCGGCACTTGGACTGCGCCTTTGTCTATGGTAATGAGAAGGAGGTCGGCGCGGCCATTACAGAGAAAATTAAGAGCGGCGTTGTGAAGCGGTAAGAAAGAATGAAAATATTTATATAATTTATTATTATTTAGATTTACAATAAAAATTTTAAATATTTCTTTTAGTTTTCCATAACACAAGCTCTGCGGGGAGTAGGGATTATTAATTATTATTATTATTATTATTAATAATAATAATAATAAGGCTTGGCTTAGGCCCGTACATACCAAGATTACCGGCGAAAGTCGAGAAAAAATAATATAAAAAAATAATAATAATAATAAATGAAACTGAAAACTGAAACAATTAAATATACAAAAAATATTTAAATAATTTATAATTAGTTATTTAGGTTCACAATCTTGTAGGACTACTGGACGGAACGGGCTGAAATTAGGCATGCAGGTAGATGTTATGACGTAGGCATCCGCTAAGAAAGGATTTTGATTAATTCTACCCCCAAGGGGATAAAATAGTGGATGAAAGTTTGTATGAAACTTTGTCAATTTTAAACCGATCGGACTGAGACTTTGCTTGTATAAAGCTACTATGACGTAGGCATCCCCTAAGAAAGGATTTTGATAAATTCCACCCCTAAGGGGATAATAGTTTGTATAAATCTTCTTAGATTTTCGACTGATTGAACTGAAATTAAAGATTGGAGCTACTATGATGAAGACGTTCGCTTAAATAAGATTTTGATAAATTCAACCCCCATGGGGATAAAATAAGGGATGATGCAGGATGTAAATGTATTAGTTTGATTACCTAATAGAACGAATAAATTAAGACGAAAATAATTTTTAGTTCTTTAGGCTACTTTTATTTTAGAAACAAAGTTAAATTCCACGCGGACGAAGTCGCGGGTAAAGCTAGTTCTTTAATATAAATGTTTGATGTGAAATCACAAACAGAGTGAACACTGTGCTTAAAATATTGAAGTAACTTTTATCTGTAGTCTATTTTTAATAATATAAAAGGACTACTGTATACACATCATAAATTAATACACAATCAAATACTTCATTTAAATTAATGGTGGGCCGGGTCGTGCAATGATGGCTGGCTCATCCATCATACTCGTGAACGGGTGCTCCTTGTCCCCACAAGGAGCACTGGTCTGTTCAGGTTACGAACACTGAATAGATTTTTTGTTTTATGCAATAGCATATGCTGGTGGTCACTCTATTCTCCCAAATTTGAATTTAAATGAATCTGTATTATTGTAAACATGTACAACATTTATTTAAGAAGAATACGAGCTGAGTTTCTTGTCAGTTCTTCTCATCTCGATATCATTCCGAACTGACGGTAGATTTGACATATCATAAGAGTCTGTAATAGACCTACATGAATAAAGATATTTTGAATTTACACTGAGTATATTGAGGACTAGCTTTTACCTGCGACTTCGTTTGCGTTTGTGAAATATATACCCCATATACAGATATAGGCTATTGAATTATATTAGAACAAAATATCATAAATGAAGAAAGAAAAGGAAAGAAACATAGAAATTTATTGTCAACTGGTTGTACCCGCGATATGGAATTTAACAAAAAAGTTAATTAGAGATTTTTTTTAAAATAAAAGTAGCCTAAGTTTCTCCTTATTACATCAGCTACCTGCCAGTAAAAGTTCCTTCAAAACATATAAATAAAATTGGAGTGTCTGTTTGTAATATTGAAATAACTGTTTTTACTACACGCATATGAATATAAATACGGTACATACACCAAAATAACATTTTTTACAATTTTTGTCTGTCTGTCTGTTTGTTACGGCTAATCTCTGAAATGCCTGGACCGATTTTGATGGGACTTCTTTTGGCAGGTAGTTGATGTAATAAGGAATAACTTAGGCTACTTTTATTTTAGAAAAATAAAGTTAAATTCCACGCGGACGAAGTCGCGTGTACAGCTAGTAAAAAATGTAACATTTCCAGGGAGGAGCTATTCATCACATCCAAGTTATGGAACACCTTCCACCGTCCAGACCTGGTGCGGGGCGCCCTTAATGCAACCCTGGAGAACCTGAACTTGAAATATTTGGACCTCTACCTTATACACTGGCCTCAAGCTTACAAGGTAAGGTAACAAGCACCTCGGTCGTCCAGCGGTTCCCACCGCCTTATTTCTCCTAACTCCACCTGATGGTAAGTGGTAACCGTCGCCTGTATACATAAACAGCTAAACGGTTTGTTTTTATTGATGATAATGGAATGGTGCACATGTCTGTGCTAACGGTTTACGCTGGCGGGGCACCAGTGGATGATAAGGTCAGGTCAGTTAGCCCATCGTGACAAATTCCCCAGGAATTTGACAAGATGGTTTCCAGGAGAAACCGCGTGGAGGACAACCTGACGTGGTACATTGCTAGCAATAGCTATAGCTTGTGGATAGTGACAGCAAGATGTGGGACTGATCAGGCTAGCCGTGAGCTTCTTTTTTCATTTGCCAGACATTTAAAGTACTAGGACAACATGAAAATGATTTCCATCGAATTATTCTGTCAGTTTATTTTTTAATTTATTACTAGTATTTACATAACCTAATTGTACAACTAAGACCCTAAAATTAAAAAGCTTAAAAAAAAATATAATAAAATATAGATGATCTTCCATGTGGTTGGTGACTGCAAGATGTGGGACTGATCAGGCTAGCCGTGAGCTTCTTTTTTCATTTGCCAGACATTTAAAGTACTAGGACAACATGAAATTATAGATGATCTTCCATGTGGGTGGTGACTGCAAGATGTGTCACTGATCAGGCTAGCCGTGAGCTTCCTTTTTCATTTGCCAGACATTTAAAGTACTAGGACAACATGAAGTTATAGATAGTTTAATGATACTTATCAGTGAATATGGACATATGACTACTTGGGCATATGTTAACTGCTGTTCATGTATATAGCAACATTGTTTTTTTTAGGAGGAAGCAGGTAGTCTATTCCCAGCTGACGAAGCAGGAAAGCTTCAGTTCTCCGACGCAGACTACGTGGACACGTGGAAGGAGATGGAGGGTCTGGTCAGGGACGGCCTGGTGAAGAGCATCGGAGTCTCAAACTTCAACAAGAGGCAGCTGGAGAGGTTACTCCAAGTGGCATCCATCAAACCAGTTACCAATCAAGTAAGTTCTAAGAGAATTTTTTTTCAGACTATTATAATAGAATAGAATAGAAAATCATTTATTCAAATAAACTTAATTTAAGTACTTTTGAATAGTCATAGTTATCATTCTTTTAATCTACCGCTCATTCGGAAAGCTGTTTCATCACAAAAAGAACGAGCAAGAAACTTGCGTGTTGCTCTTTTAAATAATCATTGTAATTTTACATTTCCAATTCGAAACGTGTGAATACAAACTACCAACCAGAACTAATTTATTTGGGTCAAATATAAAAACACAATAAGATTAAGTCGGTTGTAGTGATAAGAGCAGACCTGTCCCTACAAGCAGCACTCGTTCACGAGTATGACGGATGAGCCAGCCATCACTGCGCTCGACCATATTTTAGGGAGCCCAATGACTCGAACACTAAACTATTCTATATTATATTTATATACAGAATAGTTCAGCATTAATAATCTATACATATAAATAAAATTGGAGTGTCTGTTTAATAGAATTGAGTAATATTGAAATAACCGCTTATAGAAGAAGTTTTGACCGCATTCAGAACCGAGCAGCCAGAATCATTGGTAATCAACGTCTATGTGACAGACTCGACCAATTGGCTTTGCGGCGAGATATTGCATCTCTGTGCATTTTCTACCGCATATATCACGGGGAGTGTTCTGAGGAATTGTTCGGATTAATACCAGCTGCTGAGTTTCACCACCGTACCACCCGCCAGAAACTGAAATACCATCCTGATCATCTGGATGAATGGCGGTCTTCCACAGTGCGGTTTTCTAGAAACTTTTTGCCTCGCACAACCACATTGTGGAATCACCTTCCAGCAATGGTATTTTCGAACGGATACATTATTGAAACCTTCAAGAAAAGAGCTTATTCCTTTTTAAAAGGCCGACAACGTACTTGCAATTCCCCTGGTGTTGCGGGTGCTCATGGGCGGCGGTAATCACTTACCATCAGGTGAGACGCATGCTCGTTTGTCCCCTGTGTTATATAAAAAAAACGTTTTTTACTACATGCATATGAATATAAATGAGGTACATACACCAAAAAACATTTTTTACAATTTTTGCCTGTCTGTCTGTTTGTTCCAACTAATCTCTGAAATGTCTGGACCGATTTTGTCGGCACTTTTATTGCCAGCTAGCTGATGTAATAAGGAGTGACTTCGCTACTCTTATTTTAGACAACACGAGCGAAGTCGCGGGAAAAACTAGTTTTTAAATATATTAAATGACTATTTGCGATTGGAAACAAGTATAGTAAAATATGAATTAAAATATTTCAGGTAGAGTGCCACCCGTATCTGAACCAGAGCCGCCTGAAGGCGTTCTGCGAGGAGCGCGGTATCACCATCACGGCGTACTCCCCGCTGGGGTCGCCGGACAGGCCGTGGGCGCAGCCCGGCGAGCCGCTGCTGCTGGAGGACCCCAAGCTCAAGGCCATCGCCGACAGGATCGGGAAGACCGTCGCGCAAGTGCTCATCAGGTATAAAACCTTGGAGTATTTCCACCACCATCAGTATCAGCGCCATCTAGTCATAAGCTAAGCAGAGCTTGTGTTATGGGTACTAGACAACTGGTAGAAATACTTTGTGGCTATATGTACTTATCTTAATCTAAATATATATAACTCAAAGGTGACTGACATAGTGCTCTATCAACGCACAGCACAAACCACTGGACGGATCGGGCTGAAATTTAGCATGCAGGTAGATGTTATGATGTAGGCATCCGCTAAGAAAAGATTTTGATTAATTCTGCCCCCAAGGGGATAAAATAGGGGATGAAACTTTGTCAATTTTAAATCGATCGGGCTCAGACTGTATGCATAGAGCTACTATGACGTAGGCATCCCCTAAGAAAGGATTTTAATAAATTACACCCCTAAGAGGTTAAATTAACGCGAGCGAAGCCGCGGGCAAAAGCTAGTAATATTATAAACGCGAAAGTTTGTAAGTATGGATGTTTGTTACTCTTTCACGCAAATGCTACTGAACGGATTATTTTGAAACTTTACAGTGATATAGCTTACGCATCCAGGGGCGGATCTACTTAAGGACTTTTTGGGCTGCTGCCCACGGCCCCGAGGATACAAAGTGCCCTAGTCCTCACTGAAACGATATTTAGAATATAAGAAAATATCTAGAATGTTAAAAAACCTATCATAAGGTTGGCAACCCTGAGATCAATCAACGGAAAGAAAGGAACGGGGAATTTCTGGTCGGTGTATTTTTTTAATCTATACATATAAATAAAATTGGTGTGTCTGTTTGTAATATTGAAATAACCGTTTTTTACTACATGCATATGAATATATATACGATACATATACCAAAATAACATTTTTAATCATTTTTGTCCGTCTGTCTGTCGGTCTGTTTGTTCCGGCTAATCTCTGAAATGGCTGTACCGATTTTGACGGGACTTTTTTCGGCAGGTAGCTGATGCAATAAGGAGTAACTTAGGCTACTTTTATTTTAGTAAAATAAAGTTGAATTCCACGCGGACGAAATCACAGGAACAGCTAGTTAAGTAATATAATTAGGTAGGCCCCTCAGTAGATTTAGCCCAGGGTCCCACAAATTCACGATCCGCTCCTGTATGCATCAGTACAGTATATAGGCTATATTTTTTATTTAAATTAAATATAAGAAAAACAGCGTTGCAGCACTCCAGCCTGCAGCATTATGCTGAGCATGGACCTATTCAGTAGATGCTTCGACAAACATACACATGCATGGACACTGCACACTCGTAATTTGTGTACTGTTTCTTTTTTTTTGTAATTGTCGCAATGTTTGGTTTATTTTAAATTTTGTTTGTTTAATGTGTGTTTTAGTTTTTTCTTCTACTGAATATATATCATTTTGTTCAAAATATACCCTGTACCATCGTAAGCACAGATTATTATATTAGAGCACGTTAGTTTGTGTTCCCGCGGCCTTCCCTGCCCCTCCCTTAACTAGTAACAGACGGACCGTACAGCGGCCTTGACGCGCGCGCGCATTGTGTTGTGAATTAAAATAAATTAGAACTGTGTTACTGTGTTAACCTACTGTGAAAGTGTGTGAAAGCTAGCGAAGATACCTTCGAGACCCTGAAGCCCAAGAAATCCGCAGAACCAAATCAAGTACACGACAGACATAGTAAATTCCCTAACATTTTGGTAGCAGAGTAGTTTCCCAAACACATTTCATTTCATTTTAATTTAATATAACCCTGCGTTAAATTAAATTATAATGAAATGAAATGAAATATAATAATAAAACCGCGGGTAGGCAGCTGATTAAACATTATATTTCACAGATACCAAATAGAGCGCGGGGCGATCGTCATACCCAAGTCTGTGACGAAGGCGCGTATAGCGAGCAACTTTGACGTTTTCGACTTTAAGCTGTCGCAGGAAGACGTAAATTTGATTGACAGCTTCGACTGCAACGGACGCCTGGTGCCTATGACTGCGTAAGTGAAATCAAATCAAATAAAATATTGTAATTATAATGACCCTGGACAATTCACATAGCGCCATCTTTTGGTTTTGCTAAACAGAGGCTGTGTAACTAGACAACTGATATAAATACTCTGCTAGATGCATTTTGATTATAAAATTAATAAATATATTCAATCTATACATTTGACGATTGTGATGAACAGAATGCATATTGAAACACTTTATAATTAATTAAATTGAATAGTCGATTTCGTCAGAGGCAAGTACTCGAAATGGACAGCTAGGGTTGCCAATACCAAATATGTGTGTACATATATTATTTAAAAGAGTAGGTAAATGAGGGTATTTTTCACAAATATTGAAGATGTATACGCAGAATTAGGAATTATGAAAATAATATATCATTTCTTTCTTGACGACCTCGGTGGTCTAGCGGTTTACGTCCGATGGTCGCGGGTTCCAGTCGTCTCACGGCACATACATTTGTATTCTTGAGTATGACTGTTTGTATCGGTCTGGGTGTTTTCTATGTATAATATGTATGTATTTACGAAAAAAAATATCTATGTATTTGTATCAGTTGTCTAGTACCCATAACACAAGCTTTAGCTAGCTTAACTTGGGTCTAGATGGCGTTGTGTGAATTGTCCTGAGATTATTATTATTATATATATAAATAAAATTGGAGTGTCTGTTTGTAATATTGAAATAACCGTTTTTTACTACATGCATATGAATATAAATACGGTACATACACCAAAATATTTTTTTTTACAATTTTTGTCTGTTTGTTCCGGCTAATCTCTGAAATGGCTATGCTAATGCTAAACCAGACCACACATGAGTGCATAAATCAAGGAAATATATCTATTTCGTTTTAATCAATCTGTCTTACTCACACGGTACTTTATATCCCCTCCGATCGATACCCCGTTCAATTCAAACGGGGATCGAAATTACGACGGCCTGAGCCGAGGTTCGAACCCCTAGTGGTGCCCTCAGACTAAAGTCGTATCCGTTAGGCGGGAGCTGGCGATAAGTCCTTCCTTTGGTTTGGAGTGCCTCGCACTCTGTCTGCACTCGCCCCCTATCGGCTCTTTGTATTTATAGTGGCCTGGTACTGTGTACATAATATCTATATTTTTATTTATTTACTAATTTTATTATAAATGTGAAAGTAGGCATTTTTGTTACGCTTTCACGCAAAACTACTGAACCGATTATCATGAAATTTTGTACACATGTTCTTGGATGTATTAGAATGAACATAGGATACATTATTATTGTAATGATCTCCGATACTTATTTAATGGATTCAGTGCGAGTGAAGCAGCGGGTAAAAGCTGGTAAATATATAAAATATGAAAAATGTATGTGTCCAATACAAGATGATATTTGTTCAAAATCTACCCTGTATCATCGTAAGCACAGATATTATATTATATTAGAGCCCGTTAGTTTTCTGTTCCCGCGCGTTCCCTTCCCCTCCCTAACTAGTAACAAACGGACCGTACAGCGGCCTTGACGCGCGCGCGCATTGTGTTGTGAATTAAAATAAATTAGAACTGTGAAACCTACTGTGAAAGTGTGTGAAAGCTAGCGAAGATACCTTCGAGACCCTGAAGCCCAAGAAATCCGCAGAGTAGTTTCCCAAACAATATTTAAATGGTCCTCACGGTTTACTGGATTTTGATGCCTAGTACCAGGCAATCAGAAATAGAAGGAGCTTACAACATGTGAGAAGGACAGATTGACTTAAAAAAAGATAGATATACATATATATTCCAGTGATTTTATTTTGACTTACATATTATAGTAGTAACGAGCTACTCACCCCGATGTACATGTATTATATATACAAATATTCCTCTTGAATCACTCTATCTATTAAAAAACCGCTTCAAAATCTGTTGCGTAGTATTAAAGATTTAAGCATACATAGGGACAGCGACAGCGACTTTGTTTTATACTATGTAATGATAACGTACTTTTTCTAACCTTTTCTTTAGGAATAAATAATTTATTTTTTCTATTTGTTCTTTTTACAGCTCCCTCGGACACAAAGACCACCCCTTCGAGGAAGATGAATACTAATTACTAATAATTAGTATATAATAATTGCCATAATAAAAAAACAAAAGCTAGAAAACGGGTAAATAAATGAACTCACATAAAAATAAAGTATTTACACACTATGGGAACAAGTTGCAATAAATAAAAAATGTTTTACATATATTCTCAAAGCATAATAAACTTATAAATATATTAATTTATAATGTTCAAAATTTGAACATATGGAATATTACTAATGATTTTTTAATTTGATTTAATAATTTTTATTTCATTTTACATTTAATTTATAAATATGTAAGTAAAACAAATAGTAAAAATTAAAAAAAAAAGATATTTTCAACGCATAATAACATTATAAATATATAAACATTTAATGTTTAGTGATTATATGAAATGACTAATGATTTTTTGGTTTGGAAGCATCTTTTATTTTATTTTACATTTATATCTAAAATTGTTAAATATATTTATTTGTGTAATGTCATATGATTTTCTTTGTATCATATTGAAAATGTTTATAATAAATACAAAAATACATTTTCCGCGGTTATAATATTAAAAAATATTAAATAAATATATATTTTTAACGTTACTACAATGTTTATTTTACATTTATTTTGTCACTATATGAATTTGAAATGTTCAAATAAGATGTCAGTATTTTTTATATGTTACATTCTTATTGTCAAAATAATAAACTATATGAATTTGTAATGTTACATTTTTGTGTTTTTTTTCCTTTCTTACAAGAGTCCGCCCGGGTACCTACTAATATTTTTTTTTGTTTATATTAGAATGGCAAACAAGTTGATAATAATAATAATAATAATAATCTCAGGGCAATTCACACAGCGCCATCTAGACCCAAGTTAAGCTAGCTAAAGCATGTGTTATGGGTACTGGACAACTGATACAAATACATAATTTGTTTCGTAAATACATACATATTATTACATAGAAAACACCCAGACCGATACAAACAATCATACTCATGAATACAAATGTTTGTGCCGTGCGAGGAATCGAACCCGCGACCATCGGACGTAAAGCAGTGTCGCCGCTAGACCACCGAGGTCATTATGACGAGATACCTGATGGTAAGTGGTAATGAATACACGAATGACATGGGACTCCTTGAAACAGTCGCCGTAGCCGGAGTAGAGTATCATATCATCAGTAGGAACAGTACTTACTGAAAATATTCTATAACTTCATGTAATCCTGTACTCTCACTGTAATACCATTGACTTTTATGTAACGGTAAGGCAAACAAGCTGAGGTCTGATGGTGGATGGTAAGTAGTAACGGAGGCCTATACATAAATAGTAGGACTTGAACATGTTAGCCAACAGTATCCACTGAGAATATTCTATAACTTCATGTAATCCTGGTACTTTCACAGTAAAACCATTGCATAATTTACTTTTATATATCGATAATTGGCAAACAGCGACAGTCAAGTGATAAACGTTAATAAGATGAACGGAGTACGGTAGCTACCACTGCCCCATGGGGAAGATCCTATAATTTCATGTAATCCTGGTACTCTCACTGTAATACCATTGACTTTTATGTAACGGTAAGGCAAACAAGCTGAGGCCTGATGGTGGATGGTAAGCAGTAACGGAGACCTATACATAAATGGTAGGACTTTTACTTTGCGGCGCTTGCGCGGGAATGTGTCTCTCTTGCGCACCGCGGCCCGTGTACCTTCGGCGCTTGATGACAGATAATAAACCGCTAGTGTTACCACTACACTGGTGGCATATACGTGCATAGTTAACTATCAGTATCCACAAAAAATATTCTATAACTTCATGTAATCCTAGTACTCCCATTGTAGTATCATTGTATCACACTTGACTTGTAATACTAATGGAAAGCTAACAGCCCACCCGATGGTAAGTGGTAACAGTTGTCTATATGCATGAACAGCGCCATGGATATTTCATTATTTGACGGCCGTGATGAGCTGCCGCTGTTGCTTACACCGTATTACCATTGTATCGCTCTTGACTTTTTGTTTCATCAAATATCTTGAACCCGGGACCTGCAGATCCCGTGCTATTTTGCAACATAGCCACCCGATTATCATTTGTTAAGTAAATAAAACACAAAATAAATATATTACAACATTTATTACACTTCACAATTCATTATGAACCGTTCATACACAATTTCCATCACAGTCGTGCTCTCCCATATTGCTTACCGCCATTGTCAGTTTTGGCGCCAAATTGGAGTTCGAAATTTAAGTAAAAAAATAATCTATACCATAACGCTAAACTACGCTTTTTGTAATCATGTACAAACTCATTTGAAAAGAATAAGAGCCGAGTTTCTTGTCAATTCTTAGCTCGAAAGCACTCAGAACTGACGGTATATTTGACATATTATAAGAGTCTGTAATAGACCTACATGAATAAAGTCATTCTTTTTACATAATACCTCCTTCATTTCCATAACTATTATTTATAATTAAAATTCTTATTACCATCAGTCGAGTTTTGAAATAGATCGGTTATGTACAATCTTAAGATTAAATAGTAATAACTAATTGATCTTGTAATATCAGGGGTGTGTTACATTATCAATCTTTTTTTTTTATTTTGTAGAAAATATATTAAGGCAGGTGTTACATATGAATGTGGATGGTTATAAGGGCACAGGAAGGCCGAAAAATATGGTAAGAAAGGGATTAAATAACGAGATGACTGCGAACAGGGATGAATGGAAGTGAAAAACATATTACGCCGACCACAAATGAGAGGAATAAGGGAGGCGGCAGATGATATGTAACTGAAATGGCAACCTGAGTTTGATGGTAAAGCAAACCGTCACCTATTTACATGAACAGCATCATGAATATCACGTATGATACCTGTAGAACTTCCCACGCGTTATCACGCCTCTTACCCTGTAATTTCACTGCCTAATCTGCACCCTATAACCGAAACAGCTTACAAAGCAAGCTGCTTGACGGCTCAAATAGCTGAGACTGAGGTACACACGCAGAGGACTTTGCTCAAAGTCTACCTTAAATTTTATGATGATTATTTAAATCATTAACGTATGAACGCATACCAAAGAAACTCACTTAATTTTAGGATAAAATAATAATTTATAGTAAAATCATTGTCATGTAAAAAATTAACTTACTATTATAATATTATAAACGCGAAAGTTCGTGAGTATGGATGGATGTTTGTTACTCTTTCACGCAAAAACTACTGCACGGATTTTGTTGAAACTTTACAGTAATATAGCTTATACATTAGGATAACACATAGGCTATAATTTAAAAAGATATTATATATAATTGGGTGGTATATAATGATAATTGTGATGCAGACGAGGTCGCGCGGGTCAGCTAGTGCAACATAAAAATATCTTTCTCAACTTGTTTAGTAAAGTAAAAAAGTGTCAAAGGTATGTTAAGTGCATTAAAAAATCAAATACAGGTCTAATTGTAAAGATTATACTACCAATTAATATTCTAGACTAGTTGTTATCTGCAAATTTGTGCGCGTGGAATTTAACTTTATATTTTTTAAATAAATGTAACTTCTGAAATACATTAGGTATCAGCCAGTGAAAGTTATGTTAAAATGGATTTAGTCGTTTCAGAGATTATCTAGAACTGTCAGACTATTTTTTTTAAAGTCATTGATTAAATTTTTATGTAAATATATACGTAATATATACTTTCATACATAATAAGTGTATATATTACTTGAATGACGAGCGTGTATGGCAATAGTTTTCATTTTAATTTGTCATTATAAACAGACACATCAATTTTATTTAATAATAATAATCCAAAATGCTGTAATATTAAACACTTGTAGAATAGTCCGCAAATTTTAGTCTTCCACTTAAAAATTATCCATCCTCATCATTCATAATTTATACTGTCATTGTTTGGTGATTTTTACCCGCAATGATCAGTCTATTACCCCATCAAAGGGAGATACATAATATATATATATATATATAAAGAAATAATAATATCGGCCCGTAAGTATGGAGAAAACCAGCAAAAGCTGAGAAAAAATAAATAAATAAATAATAATAATATTGCCATCTCCTCTCCTTAAGAGGGGAGATGGCAACAAAGAATTTTTGGAAAAAAATAAATAATAATATTTATTCATGATACACATTTACATTTCAATTTATTATAGTTCTACACTAGACTCGCAGGCCTATTTGTATATATGTTGCGGGTGAATATATATAATTGTTGGTCGAGACGATATATATTACAGATGATGATAAACTGACAATATGTACATAGAAATAATGATCTTATATACTAAATGACAATAGGAAAATGTAAGGTGGGGTGACACAGTTTAGATACAGCAGTGCTTAGTAGACAATATTGAATTTGTCTTACTAGACATTATTAAATGCAATTATTATTTTGATGTATCTAGGTGACTGTGTTCCATAGATACATTGGAAAATACTCGTTTTAACTATAAGACGCTATGTACCCTTAAATTACATCACACATTTAAGGAACAGGAAGGTCCAGGAACTGTGTCGAGAGGTCGTAGATGTCATAAAATAAATTTGATAAATTTTCATGATTTAGAAATTTATTTACATTGATAAATATTTAAAAAATAAATTTACATTTCTAGTTGTAGAACATGTGACAGAACGCTAGGATGGGTCTCATAATTACGACCCCACTAGTTGACCCACGCAACTTCGTCTGCGTTTCATTTCTCCACCTTTTGTAATATATTTCATTGCAGCTCCGCTGCTATTGGTCGTAGCGTAATGTTATATAGCTTAAAGCCTTCCTCGACAAATGGACTATCCAACACAAAAATATTTTTTCAATTTAAACCAGTAGTTTTTGAGGTCAAACAAACTCTTTAGCTTTATAATATTAGTATAGATGTGACAAGGTGGTGGTGTGACAAGGAGGTTAAAATAATTGAATTGGTGTGACGTACAGTATTGAAAGATATCTGTGGTTGATGAATCACCACTGATCGGAGTAGGTGCTCTCAGACAGTGTAGTTTCAGAGGAGCTTCCTCCCACATACACTTACATTGTGGAATGAACTACCCTGGTTTTCTTGAGAGAAAACTTCGGGACATTTTTCTCTTTCTGGGGCAGTGGACACAACTACCTTTTACCATCGCACCGCTCGCCATCGTCAGGGAATTCATCCCCACACACTAGAACCTAAGTGGTCTCGGACAGTGCAGTTTCAGAGGAGCTTCCTCCCGCGTACACCTACATTGTGGAATGAACTACCTGCCGAGGTTTTCTTACGAGACTACAGCATAGGGTTTTTCAAGAAGGGTATATTAAGGTTTCTTAAGGGTCGGCAACGCGTATGTGACACCCCTGGTGTTACAGGCGTCCATAGACTACGGTAACTGTTTACCGTCAGATGGACCGTATGCTTGTTTGCCACGTACGTGGTATAAAAAAAAGGTAATATTGATATTATTCTATAATATGACGATTACACAAAATAGCTCTACCTACTCCGATCACTAGTGATAACAGAAACCATATGTTTGTACTGTTTTAGTTTAGGACTAGATGCCGTTGTTGTAATATTTTATACATTCTTAACTTACGTTTTTAAATAATCCAATATTACATTAAATTCATAAATAATTGTAACATTACAAAACCACTAACCAAATTCCTATGTTAAATATACAAAAATATACAAAAGAAAACGCTAAAAGAAACTCCAATACGCTCACAACACTGCACTTACTTGGTCAGATATCTGTTATTTATAACAGTACTAATTCACTCGATAACAGCCTGTTAGTTGTAACAGTATAAATACTAGTTCTCTTAGTTATTAACTTGGTCACAGATATCTGTTATTTATAACAGCAAGTTGTTGTCCAAGTTACTACTTAATATCACTCGAATAGTCGTCAAAACATACCTATCCAACCACTTCACTTTTTAACAACAGTTTATTACTTGTAACACGATAATTAACGCTTAAAATCGCGCTGTTACAAATATCGGTTATTTGTAACGAGTAAAACATTGAATTTACCTTGTAACAGCTAACTGTTACTTGTAACTAAATACCGTTTCATTGTAACGTAAGTCTGTTACTTTAATACGCACGCTACATCACTTAATATCACTTCGTTACAGTACACAAGTGTCACGATATTTCGTGAATCACTGAACAATCGTCACGTAAATACTAGGTAACAGGTGACGCTGTTATTTGATACCTGTTCTTTTTAATCAGTACTTTATCGCTCGATCGGAGCAATACGTCTCACTTACTGTTATTTATTCGCCTTTGATCCTTTTACTCATTTTCTCTTGTTGTAATTCTCGCCATTCCTTCTTTGGTTTCATTCGTTTCAATTGACCGTCCCTATAAAAAAAAACAATTTTAATATAATATGACAGCCTCGGTGGTTTAAAGGTTTAGTCGCTTTATTTCTAATGGTCGCGGGTTCGATTCCTCGCACGGTGCAAACATTTGTATTCATGAGTATGATTACTTGTACCAGTATGGGTGTTTAAAAAAAAAACGAAAATATATCTAAGTATTTATATCAGTTGTCTAGTACCCATAACACAAGCTCTGCTTAGCTTGAGACTAGATGGCGCTGTGTGATTGATATATTATAGTTATTTACGATTTCCGTTCATCATCATTATATGTGTAGACACCTTTTTAGTTTTTTTTCTATTAAAAATGTAAAAAAAAAACTATTTTAATATTATATGATAGCCTCGGTGGTGTAACGGTTTAGTCGCGGGTTCGATCCTCGCACGGTGCAAACATTTGTATTCATGAGTACGATTGTTTGTACCGGTGTGAGTGTTTTGATGGATTGATCTCAGGGTTGTCAACTTTATGATAGGTTTTTTCACATTCCGGATATTTTTTTATTTCTAAATATCGTTTCAGTGGGGAGTGGGGGGCCTTTATATCCTCGGGGCCATTGGCTGCAGCCCAAAAAGCCCTTAGATCCGCACTGTGTGGGTCACCTTCTTAGATTTCTCCTGGTCGCACATTACCAAATAGTAGGTAATGGAATCTAAGAAGGTCATCCTGCTCCATATGTAAATCAGTTTCCCTATGGTTGCCTTAAAAATATTGCTTTCAGCAATAAGACCGCCTTATTGTAACTGTACAGGTGTTCTTTAATTGCTTATGTCTTTTTCTTATTAATATTATAAATGCGAAAGTTTGTAACTATAGATGTTTGTTACTGTTTCACGCAAAAATTACTGAACGGATTTTGGCGAAACTTTACAGTAGTAGTAGTAGTACTAATGTTAGGGGTAGTCCACCCCTATTTTTGTTTTTATTTTAAGGCAAAACAACGTTTGCCGGGACAGCTAGTATAGACTATACATTTTACGTGGCACAAACCGCTACGGACAGTTAGTATATTATTAACGCGAAAGAATGTGAGTATGGATGTTTGTTACTCGTTACACGCAAAAACTACTGAACGGATTTTGACGAAACTGTACAGTAATATAGCTTATAAATCAGAACAACATATATGATTTAAATTTCGAGCGGCTAAAACTCTACGGATAGCTAGTCAAAAATATACACTTACCACATAAGGTCAACCAGTCCTCCACGTAGAGCGATCACAGATTTGACCCGGTTGGCGAAATCGACGGCCGACTCGTGCTGCTCCCTGTGCATAGGGGGCAGGTACCATACGTCGCACACGATAGCCCACGAGGTCATCATGTTGAGGAGATAGTGCAGCATCCCGTAGCGGGAGCTGTTCCAGAACGCGTCTCCGAATCTTGGGTCGTATCTGTAATAGTTCAAATTCAAAACATCTTTATTCATGTAGGTCTATTACAGACTCTTATGATATGTCAAATCTACCGACAGTTCGGAATGATTTCGAGATGAGAAGAACTGACAAGAAACTCAGCTCGTATTTTTTTCAAATGAATGTTGTACATATATACAAAAATACAGATTCATTTATAAATTCAAATTTGGGAGAATAGAGTTACCATCAAAGGGTCGTCATTGGGCTCTCTAAAATATGGTAGAGCGCAGTGATGGCTGGCTCATTCGTCATACTCGTGAACGGGTGTTGCTTGTAGGGACTGGTCTGCTCTAATCAGTTGATTATATTTTTTTTATTTGAGTATTTAAGGAATTGAATTAGTGTTAATTGGTAGTTTGTATTCACACACTTCAACTTAAAAATGTAAAGTAACAATAAAAATATTTAAAAGAGCAACACGCAAGTTTCTTGCTCGTTCTTCTTGTGATGAGACAGCTTTCCGAACGAGCGGTAGATTAAAAAAATGTAATGACTATTCAAAAGTGCTTCAATGTAAGTTTATTTGAATAAATGATTTTCTATTCTATTCTTATTCTTATGGTCGAGCGCAATGATGGGTGGCTCATCCGTCATACTCGTGAACGAGTGCTGCTTGTAGGGACTGGTCTGCTCTTATCACTACGACTGATTTAATCTTATTATGTTTTTATATTTGAGCCTAAATAAATTAGTGCTGGTTGGTAGTTTGTATTCACACGTTTCGACTTGTAAAATGTGAACTTACAAGGATTGTTTAAAAGAGCAACATACAAGTTTTTTGCTCGTTCTTCTTGTGATGAGACAGCTTTCCGAATCAGCGGTAGATTGAAAAAAATGTGATGACTATTCAAAAGTGCTTCAATGTAAGTTTATTTGAATAAATGATTTCCTACTCTACAACTAACATTATAATAATAATAATAAATTTATTTGCAATAGATTTTGGGTACATACATATATGATGTTATACAAAAACATGGCCCTTGCAAAATCTGCTTATATCAAGTGTACAAATCTTAAGTTAATTGAATTATCGATTGTTTATATAATTATGAATTATTGTATGTAGGTATATGTCAATTTGTGTATAAATCTAAATGTCATGAGGAACAATTTATTATTTTAGTATTCCAAAAACTCTTTAATTGAGTAAAAACACTTGGAAACTAACCATTCATGCAGTTTTCTTTTAAATAATATTCCAGAGAGAGTTCTTATATCGTCAGGAAGCTTATTAAATATTTGTATCGCCATACCAAGTAGACTCTTTTTTGTTTTTCCGTCTTAAAGGGATATGAAAGACTTTTTAATAGATACATAGCTTTTTTTATATTACCATCAGGTGACCCAGCTTATTCGCATTTGTAGTCTATACATCTATACATATAAATAAAATTGGAGTGTCTGTTTGTAATATTGAAATAACCGTTTTTTACTATATAAATACGGTACATACACCAAAATAACATTACAATTTTTGTTTGTCTGCTCCGGCTAATCTCTGAAATGGTGATCCGATTTTGACGGGACTATTATTGGCAGATAGCTGATGTAATAAGGAGTAACTTAGGATACTCTTATTTTAAAATTCCACGCGGACGAAGTCGCGGGGACAGCTAGTATGTATATAGGTTTGAACTCACTTGATGGCCACAGGATATATGGTACCGCCGACCTCGAAGCTGCCCTTCTTGAACTGCATCACCGATGTATTGTTGATGCATGTGCCTTCGGGGAAGATCAGGATTGGTGGATTGCCAGGAACCGATATGTGCTCTTTGAGTCTGTAAATAGAATAGAAAATCGTTTGTTGAAATAATACTAATATTATAAACCCTAATGTTTGTGACTATGGATGGGTGTTTGTTACTTTTACACGCAAAAACTACTGAACGGATTTTGATGAAACTTTCCAATAATATAGCTTATACATGAGAATAACTCATAGGCTGTAATTTAAAAAGATATTTTGTAAATTGGGCGAAAAAAATCATAAATAAATGCAGACGAATTTGCGTGGTCAGATAGTAATAAATAATTAAATAGCAGAATTAAAATACAATAAAATTTCTTATATTTTCGTAATTATTTTTTTTAATTTAGTTTAAACAAAATGGCCGTTATGAAGTACATATCAAAACTAATCCAATAAAATATACACAATCCCGGCATATAACGATTTAATAATTATTAATATAATATATTAATAAACGAGGCTGTAGGAAGATAATAATATTTCTTACCTTTTAGCGACTGCATGTCTGTCTTTCACTTCCGACCTCTCAAACCAGATATGGGGCGAGGCTCTAGCCAATGCTCTTTGTAAGAGACCTAAGAATCCGCCATGACGTTGGCCAATCTAAAAATATGTTTTATTACATTAGTATTTAAATCCATAATAGCATAAACTTAAATCCCATAGTATACCGTAAACATTCAATGAATATAACCCTTGCAAATCCATAAGCAAAACCACATAATATATACTTATAATTAGAAAAAATTACGCGATCTTACCACGGTTTATTCAGTATCAGAAAGTGTGTTAAATGTACCGGAAGATACTGTGAGTATAGTTTGCCGAGATGAGTATCGAGCGAGTTCCAATAGTAGCAACAAATGAAGACGTGTGAAGGTACACGAATTACGTTACTCCACTACGTCAATTATATTATTTACAGCATAGGCTGTACCGATCACAGTTTTCACCCATTACAATATTAAATTTACAATATGTCATTAAAAAATTTATAATAAGTTTCTTTAATGTTATTACATTATCCATGTCAATGGGAAAATTATATACCTCATAACAAAAGTTAACATTGTAATTAAGTCCACACATTATAGACTCTTTAACAGAAGACGTGTGAAGGTAGACGAATATGTCTGCCCATAATTTTGTTTACCATCTACTCGCTACTCTTCAATTTACCCGCGATCATTGGATGTGGAAACACTGCCGAAATATTGGGAACTCAATAAAAATAAAAAATAAAGTGGTAAGATCCCGTGATTTTTCCTAATTGTAGATATAAATAATAACCGCGTCAAATTTAAAACAGAATAGAATATATATATATATATATATAACGATAACAGATGACTTTTCTTGACATTTTTGGGCATAAATAAACGACAAACTTTATCTTACAATAACTAAATAATCAACTATTTTTAAAAAGTTTCTTCACTTTATTTTTAATTAAAAATATATCCCAAAAGAAAAAGAAAAAAAAACATTACAATAGTTTTTTTTTTAGTTAATTTTAAACTTTCGTGTTTAATATACATTATTTAAATTATTAACCAGTTATGTTACTCCAGTCAGCTCGTGACCACGGCTAGTGCAACCTAGTCGAAACATCGAGAGAGGTAAATACCTTTATTTGCCATAAAATTATTCGTGTTAAGACCCGGTTAATAATTTAAATAGTTTTTTTTTCTTTTTTATATCTTGACACTATTACAATAGTTATAAATTTATTCGATTTATGACGTAAAAATTAAAGGTTATATTTGGTGGAGTTCCCGCCAAACATTACCTTTAATTTTTACGTGTGTCATAAAATTTCGGTTTTGGGATCCAACTATTTGACCATCCTGCTTGAACGCTCTAAACTTTGGAAATTATAGTATTACTTTAGAAATTTGATTTACATTAATGAAATAGCCCAATTCTCATTTAGGTATCAAGATATTTATTTAACACCACACAACGTTCTTTGAGATCCCTATACTCGTGTAAAAGAATAATTTTATAACTATTTTCTGTTATTACATGACAAAGTCAGTATGAGTTTGCAATTCATATGTAATATACCATTTATTAGAACTTTTAAACAGCTTACGATAACTGTAATATTCAATTAATAGAAACACATGCACCCATAATTGTTTTAAAAAAAACTAAATTATATTAATTATTATTTTTATACAACAACCATATATCTATTAACACCTGTACTTCATTTATTTTATGTTAATGCGTTTTAAATATTTTTTTTTATAGGTGATTCAGAAATAATGTGTGGGTGACATTATTTCTGAATCACCTGTAAAAATGGGTAATTAATATTAATTTCCGACAGTGCCACAACCCTGGCAACATCGGAAATGTCATTAAAAGACTGTTCTATTATTATTCATAAAAAAACCCTTTATGACTTTAGTCAATTTAGGCTCCGAGATTAAACAGACTATATCTACTAATACTTACCAAATATCCCTTAATGACTTTAGTCAATTTAGTCTGCGAGATTAAAATATAGCTATACTAATACTTACCAAATATCCCTTTATGACTTTAGTCAATTCAACATCCAGCATTAAACAGACTATATCTACTAATACTTACCAAATATCCCTTCATGACTTAGTCAATTTAGGCTCCGAGATTAAACGGACTATAGCTATACTAATACTTACCAAATATACCTTTATGACTTCAGTCAATTTAGTCTCCGGGATTAAGACTGTTCTATTATCATCCATAAAAAAACCCCTTTATGACTTTAGTCAATTTAGTCTCCGAGATTAAACTATAGCTATACTAATACTTACCAAATATACCTTAATGACTTTAGTCAATTTAGTCTCCGAGATTAAACTACAGCTATACTAATACTTACCAAATATCCCTTTATAACTTAGTCAATTTAGGCTCCGAGATTAAACTATAGCTATACTAATACTTACCAAATATCCCTTTATGACTTAGTCAATTTAGGCTCCGAGATTAAACAGACTATAGCTACTAATACTTACCAAATATACCTTTATGACTTTAGTCAATTTAGTCTCCGAGATTAAACGGATTATAGCTACTAATACTTACCAAATATCCCTTTATGACTTTAGTCAATTCAGCATCCAGCATTAAACAGACTATAGCTACTAATACTTACCAAATATCCCTTAATGACTTTAGTCAATTTAGTCTGCGAGATTAAACTATAGCTATACTAATACTTACCAAATATCCCTTTATGACTTTAGTCAATTCAACATCCAGCATTAAACAGACTATATCTACTAATACTTACCAAATATCCCTTCATGACTTAGTCAATTTAGGCTCCGAGATTAAAGGGACTATAGCTATACTAATACTTACCAAATATACCTTTATGACTTCAGTCAATTTAGTCTCCGGGATTAAGACTGTTCTATTATCATCCATAAAAAAACCCCTTTATGACTTTAGTCAATTTAGTCTCCGAGATTAAACTACAGCTATACTAATACTTACCAAATATCCCTTTATAACTTAGTCAATTTAGGCTCCGAGATTAAACTATAGCTATACTAATACTTACCAAATATCCCTTTATGACTTTAGTCAATTCAGCATCCAGCATTAAACAGACTATATCTACTAATACTTACCAAATATCCCTTTATGACTTCAGTCAATTTAGTCTCCGGGATTAAACTATAGGCTATACTAATACTTACCAAATATACCTTTCATGACTTTAGTCAATTTAGTCTCCGGGATTAAATGACTGTTCTATTATCATCCATAAAAAAAAAACCCTTTATGACTTTAGTCAATTTAGTCTCCGAGATTAAACTATAGCTACTATTAAAAATAAAATAAAAATTACGACGGCTTGCACAGCAACTTACCAATGAGTAACAGCTGTCGCACATAAGCACGAGAGCGTCAATAGGGCTCGTATGATTGGCGACGCAGATGCCACCACACGGCTTGTTATGCGCGTCGTGGTATGTTATCACGGCGGAGATACACCGCGATAAGAAGTTGAAGCACATGATCGAGATCACGTAGTTCACGCGCTGTTTGAACGGCCCGTCCGGGAGAGTTCCGATGCAAGCCGTGCATAGTATAAGGAGCCAGACCTGGATGTACCCAATGAATGAGCGAAGAGCATTTATGAGTATTAATGATTTATGTATTCTAGAAAAAAACAATTTTGCGTTTAATGTTTTGCATGATTTTTTTTTTTTTTGGTTAACATTTTCCGTTTCAGGGAAAGGCAAAAGGACTGAGCCTATACAGCCATTGTCTTCAGAAATGAAAATGAGTTTAATTTTTTTTTGGTCGCATTTTCCGTTTCAGGGAAATGCAAAAGAACTGAGCCTATTACAGCCATTGTCTTCAGTAGTGAACAAATTCAATTTTTTTTTAATGGTTCAATTTTTCCGTTTCAGGGAAAAGGACTCAACCTATACAGCCATTGTCTTCAGTAATGAACATGATTTTAGTGTTCTAAATCCCATTTTTAATTAGATGTTAAAGGATTTTTTTTGTTTTATTTATCATTATAGGAAAGGCAGAGTCTACGCCCATACAGCTTTTGTCTTTGGTATCATTTCTGTATTTTAATTTATTTTTCCTTCTTCAGATCAGAGATCTTTCAAGGGCATTATTAAATGACAGATGTCAGATCACATTTCACTCTATGGTTAGTTAAAAAACGAAGGTTAATACTGTCGTTGTCTATGTATTGGAGTCATGGTATAAAGATAGGATATACACAGAAAGTAAGTGATTAAAATGTTTATTATTAAATTAAGTTATCTTGGACTAATGGTAAAAATTGCTATTTTGCATATAACGTTAAAATATGAATGCAAAACATATATCTTGTTATTTTTATAAAATTATTAAACAAGTGTGATTATAAATGCTCTCCACGCTGTATTAAACATTACACTCGAAGCATCACTTCGATAAACATGAAGAAATGATGTTTAATTAAAAAAAAAATCATCAATAGATGTCCTTGACCAACACCCTTAAGTCAGTGATTTCTATTGGAATTAAAAATTTTTTTTAAAAAGTAATAAAAAAAAAAAAGAACTGATATATATCATCATTTCTACACGCAATATAGACATATGACAAATGAGGTAATATTAAACATAACCATGCACATATAAGCAGTAAGTACCCATAGACAACACAAAATTCCCGATAAAATTAAAAATTACTACCAAAGAGTAACAATTATTGATGCTTAGCGCGGCAACATCGATCGGGCTCGTGTGGTTGGCAACACAGAATCCATTGCTCTTCGGTAAGTACTTTGTGTCATGGAACGTTACATTACAAGAGAGAGATCTGAACAGTACTCTGAATGACATCTTATATGCCAACGCTCCCAGATATAGTCGAATTTTGCAGGCTGGCAACAAACTTATCAGCATAGTTGATACGATCATTGTTAGCACCTGGTGTTGCCAATTTATTATCACCAGAATTACACAATTGATAATAGTTTTGGGAAAATCCGATCCAGATGGTAGAAATCGTAGATCCAATTTATTTGATTTTGGAATTATATTTTCCCGCCATTATTTTTGTTTATGGTCACGTTTCCAATTGCCATGTCATGTCCGATCATCGAATGTTGCCACATCAGATTAGTAAAACGAAAAGAAAAATAAAATTAATAATGACAAACAAAATTAATTATAAGACAAAATTAATATAAGGAAGTAACTTAGCTCCAGAATGTTCCATTTATTAATACAACAGACAGACAAGAAATTATATTTTAATATAGGGTCCTGTTATGTAGAGTACGTAGGAGAACTCGTCCCTCAAGGGAAATCGTTTATGGACTCTTTTCGCGCGTAAAAAAAACTATGCTATAAAAAAAACTGAAAAGTATAGAGAAATACAAATAAAAATATACAGCCGAATTGAGAGAGTCCTTTTTGAAGTCGGTTGAAAAAAAATCTTTAAACTTTCATGAATCTTGTGAGATACCAGAGTACTAGGAGAACATAACCATATAGGAGGTTTTCAGGATAAATACTGAGCATTGCTTAGTTTCATACTATATGGCGCTGATTTGTTGTATCATTCTGTTGCTAAGTACAGGGTACAGACAGACAAAGTAAAATAGTTATTATTACATTTACAATTAAATTAATTATTAATAACTATGAAAGGATTATTCTAGTTCACAGGAACATTTAGTAATCAGTCGAAAAAAAAATGGAAATTAAATAGAAAAAAAAAACAGTTTTTTTTTTTGTCTAACATCTCCTCTCTGTCTTTCTTATAATCTGTGGCAGAGATTCAATGAATTAGGATAGAAGTACTGACAATCATTTCGAGTCAATAAATACCCTTTAACTTTACCATCATATGTGTTTTAAACTACCTACAACTTCATGTTATCCTGGTACTTTTGCTCTTCATACAGTATCAAAATTTACCGCTTTTGATGATTTTTTCTTTCCTCTCGCTTTCCGATCTGTGGGTAAATCGTGATAAGGTACGGAAATGTGTAATAGGAAGCTGGGGAGCGATGGTAGAGTAGACCGTCAGATGGTACCACTTTTTTCGAGAAGTCGTTTCTTAGATACTGTTTGCAGTGTAGTACTCGGGATTTCATGTATACATATATATATTTAATTATTCATGGATACAAGACCTTCAGTCGATTATGTACCTAATATTAGCGAGTATTGCCACTTACCATCAGGTGGGCCATAAACTTGGTTGCCATATCAAATACTAAAAAAATCAAAGAATATGCGATTCTCTATGGATCATCAGAATTTAGAATATGTTTCAAATAATAATTGTTCAATTATTATTATTATAATCATAATTCATGTGACTATAATTACATAATTAAAACAAAAAATAATTTATTCATTTACGACATTTTACCCGCGAAACTCAAGTTTTTTTTATTAATATTTTCCCTACCGTACAGTTCAGTATACATATTAAATTGAGAAGAACTGGCAAGAATCTCGACTGAATTTCCTTTTTAAAGCCAGTTTATTTACAATGTATATTTATATAGGTGTCTATGTCTAACATTAAATGAAAATCCCGTGCATGAACCACTATTGCCATGCACGTTTGTCATTTTTTTTTTATTTAATATTTTACGGCTCTGGATACAAGTCCTTTTTAGCCCAACATAAAATACAAAACCTAAAAAAAATTATAATTTCTTCCCAGTGTTAGAAATAAATTTATATAGTGATTCGTACTTACCCCAACAATGAAGATCAACACCCGCAGTGGTAGCAAGAAAAAATATCTGACCAGAAAGCCCATAGCCCAAATTATTGTAAGGCGCCATGTTAGAAATTCATATTGTCTGAAAACAAACAGATCAACTTTACGTCGTTATCTATACATATAAATAAAATTGGATTTGGATTGGATTGGATCTGTTTGTAATATTGAAATAACCGTTTTTTACTACATGCATATGAATATAAATACGGTACATACACCAAAATATCATTTTTTACTATTTTTTGTCTGTCTGCTGTTTGTTTCTGATAATCTCTGAAATGGCTGGACCGATTTTGACGGGAGTTTTATTGGCAGGTAGCTGATGTAATAAGGAGTAACTTAGGCTACTTTTATTTTAGAAAATAAAGTTAAATTAACTAACTAAGGTTATTTACATTACGTGTGAATTATCGAAAGTGGAAATTACTAAATTGCTCATAAATGTAGATTATAATTTAGTGTGATTTTTTTTTATTGTATTAACTGTGTTTAAGATTCACAAAAGTAAAGAAGTGTCAATAAACCTAATTTACAATTAATGTTTTGTATAGGCCTTGAATTGTCGAATTATGAGGAATTTTTTAAGAAACATTTTTCGCCCATACATAGGTATGGATACATTTACAGCATTTAAACTATCACTTCTAGGATCTTCCGGCAGGAAGACGTGGAGTTGCCAGTAACTCTAACGTTACAGTGGTGAGGTGATAAAAATAATATAATAGACTTACTTGTTGGTTCTAGTGAGGAGATTCCAGCTGCGCAACTCCTCAGCTTCGAAGACTGACGTGACCTGGTCTTCAATGATGGACTCCATACCGACTTTGAGCAAATCCAGGCAATGGGACAGATGGAAATCCAGATTTTCCTGAAAATATTTTTATTTATTTATTTAGGATCAAAAACAGGTTCACAATTAGGAAACTTATAATTATTTTACATTTTCTATGTACTATGTTATTGTAAACCCAACATGCACGATCACAAATTATATTAAAGTATTAAGATATGTGGGTCGCATACAAACTAAACGCATACAAACTGTTGCGGGTGGTTGATACTATGTTGTTGGTTGAGACGATGTATATTACAGATGATAGTAGACTGACAATATGTACATAGAACTAATGATCTTATATACTAAATAACAATAGGAAAATGTAAGGTGGGGTGACACAGTTTAGACACAGCAGTGCTTAGTAGACAATATTGAATTTATCTTACTAGACATTATTAAATGCAATTATTATTTTGATGTATCTAGATGACTGTGTCCCATACAAACTAATATATTTTCTACTTATAATTATGATGGTGTATATGTAGTGGGTTGAATGAGGAAAAGAGATATGAGATATGTGTGAAAAGAAATTTGAGAAAAGGTTGTATGGAAGTATCGTCACTTTTAAAGTTAGAAGCTTGAAACTTATTTTTTACACTGTGGCTGTACAAATATACATAAACAAAAAGGGTTGTAAGGGGTTGAAAGGGGAGATAAAAGGAAGTATCGTTATTTTTAAAGCAAAAATACCGAATTACTGTTTAGACTGTTAAGTATTAGGTTGTTCGGAAAGTAATTTCGTTTTTTCCTAACTTAGGATTTAATTGTATTTTTTGCACTCAACTTCACACTTAAGCCGCATAATTTTTATATGCTTTGAGAGCTCATATAGCAAGGATTGTGTGTGAAAAATTACAATTAATTCTACGCAGTAGTTTATGGTTGGTGCCCTTTTAAATATGGAGAGGAATAAGCAGCATTTTCGACATATCTTACTGTTTTACTACAGAAAGGGTAAAAATGCTGTTCAAGCCAGAAAGAAATTGACCGACGTGTGTGGAGAAGGTGTGTGAACAGTACGCCAGTGCCAGAACTGGTTCGCAAAATTTCGGTGGCAATTCTGATGTCGAAGATGCACCACCCTCGGGAAGGCCGGTTGAAGCTGATAATGGCACTGGTTGATGCGAACCAGCGATTCAAAGCAACCTCCGCCTGATGGATACGACTCAGGATCGTCATAATTTCGATCCCCATTTGAATTGGGACGGGAAATTGATAATGGGTGATCGGTGGCGATGTGGAGAGCCCGGTTGCTTGCGCGGTATGACGTGGTTGAGGTCGTCGTCTTGGCCGGCGAGGACGGTGTCGTGTTTGTGATAGCGACGATACATAAAAAAGTGGGTGTATTATTAAAGAAAATACCTCATTCTTTTCCTGGTCGGGCCCAAGTCCATTTTGCATCCGTTCCGGGCTAGAACTTCTCTTGTAGTTCAATTCTGGTGATGGACCCAATATCTCCTGTCTTTCTATCACCGTCATCTTTGTACCTGGAATTATTATAATAATCATTACTAGTAAGTCGCTGTCGCTGTCTGTCCGTCCCTATGTATGCTTAAATCTTTAAAACTACGCAACGGATTTTGAAGCGGTTTTTTTTAATAGATAGAGTAATTCTAGAGTAAGGTTTATATGTATAATACATGTACACTCAGGCAAAGCCGGGGCGAGTAGCTAGTAATTTTATATACTCATTCATTCAGGTCATTGGGCTCCCTAAAATATGGTCGAGCGCAGTGATGGCTGGCTCATCCGTCATACTCGTGAACGAGTGCTGCTTGTAGGGACTGGACTGCTCTTATCACTACGACTGATTTAATCTTATTGTGTTTTTATATTTGAGCCTAAATAAATTAGTGCTGGTTGGTAGTTTGTATTCACACGTTTCGACTTGTAAATGTAAACTTACAAGGATTATTTAAAAGAGCAACACACAAGTTTCTTGCTCGTTCTTCTTGTGATGAGACAGCTTTCCGAACGAGCGGTAGATAGAAATTGTTATGACTATTCAAAAGTGCAAATACCAACCAAAAATACAAACTACCAACCAGCACTAATTTTTGAGTCAAATATAAATATACAATAAGATTAAATCAGTCGTAGTGATAAGAGATATACATATATATATAGAGAAATTAAGATTTGTAATGGATACGTGCGAAGGCGCGTCGGGTTGTGTTGTGGATGTTTCATGGAAACCGTATAAACAGACAAATATCAAATCGTAGCGTGACTAAAGTCAATTTGTAATAAACAATGCAAGTTAAGCGACATAATATGTGACTGTTCATTTGTGTTATCTAATATATTTACTACATAGCTGTTCGCGACTTCTTCCGCGTGGAATTTAACTTTATTTTTCTAAAATAAAGGTAGCTCAAGTACTCCTTATTAAAATAGCTACCTGCTAAAAAAAGTCCCGTCAAAATCGGTCCAGCCATTTCAGAGATTCGCCGGAATGAACAAACATACAGACAGATAAAAATTGTAAAATATGTTATTTTGGTGTATGTACCGTATTTATATTCATATGCATGTAGTAAAAAACGGTTATTTCAATATTACAAACAGATACTCCAATTATATTTATATGTATAGATATATAGACTAGCTGTACACGAGACTTCGGCCGCGTGGAATATAAGGTTATTTTTCTAAAATAATAGTAACATAAGTTACTCCTTATTACATCAGCTACCTGCCAATAAAAGCCCCGTCAAAATCGGTCCAACCATTTCAGAGATTCGCCTGAACAAACAAACATACAGACAGACAAAAATTGTAAAATATGTTATTTTGGTGTATGTACCGTATTTACATATATTCATATACATGTAGTAAAAAACGGTTATTTCAATATTACAAACAGACACTCCAATTTTATATGTATAGATTTCAAGTTAAAGTACTAGGAAAACATAAGCAGTCAGGAGAATTTCTGAATACCGAGGTAGGCTTTGTTTAGACTCGTTTTCTGACTAACTCGCCAGCAAAGTAAACAACTACATATAACAAAATAAAAAAATATCCGAGACATGGCCGTAGCTTTGCTTTTGTCACATTTCATTGTTAGTAACGAAGGAAAGAATGGGCATGTAAATGTAGACAATGAGTACGAAAGACCGCGCGCAAACAGCGAGTTCCCGCGTACAACAATCGTGAGTGGTTTTGGCGCCTTTTTGTAATAATTAATTGTCATTTCAAAATGGCGGACATCTGACTATAGACTATATAGCATAGACTATTATAGATTTATTGATCATTACATAGTATAAAACAAAGTTGAGCCAAAAGAAGAAAAAAAAAGAAAGTAGCTGTCGCTGTCTGTCCGTCCCTATGTATGCTTAAATCTTTAAAACTATGCAACGGATTTTGAAGCGGTTTTTTTTAGTAGATATAGTGATTCAAGAGGAAGGTTTATATATGTAACATATGTACACCCGGGCGTAGCCGGGGCGAGTAGCTAGTAAATTAGAAACGTGTTTTTGGAAAATATCGTATACTGGCTGTTCGCGACATTGCTGAAAAAATGCAGGAAAGTAGGCTGCGATGGTATGGACACGTGAAGAGAAAGCCGCCTGATTACGTCGGAAACCTGGCACTGCAACTTTCTATTCCTGGTCGAAGGGGCAGAGGCAGACCAAGGAAGGGATGGGAAGATGTTGTTGTTAGGGACATGATAGAGTGTGAGGTCTCTGAAGACGATGTCCGGGACAGGATAAAGTGGCGGACAAAAATAGGGAAAGCTGACCCCACCACCATGTGGGATATATAGCCAGGAAGAGAGAGAGAGAGTCTTTGGAAAATATTGTCTGTGGAATAAAATATACAATTTTAAAGAAAAACTTGAATCTCGCGCTATAAGGGGTATAAAAATTGATAACAAAAAAAAAATAGTAAAATATCTTTCACGACTGCGCGCGCTCTTTCCCGCGCCAAATTGCGCTATCATAAACATTATCAATGAGTGCAATGATGGCTGGCTTATCCGTCATACTCGTGAACGAGTGCTTCTTGTGGGGACTGGTCTGTTCAGGTTGTGGACTTAATTACAATTTTAACTTTTGTTATGAGGTATATAATTTTTCCCATCGACATGGATAATGTAATAACATTAAAGAAACTTATTACAAATTTTGTGATGACATATTGTAAATTAAATAATGTTAATTTAATATTGTAATGGGTGAAAACTGTGATCGGTACAGTCTATGCTGTAAATAATATAATTGACGTAGTGGAGTAACCTGAAACAGTCATGCTTGCTATAAAGTTCAAACTTGTGGCGGCGTGGTGGGCCGGGTCGATGTGCTCCCTCAAATATGGTTGAGTACAATGATGGCTGGCTCATACGTCATACTCGTGAACGGGTGCTGCTTGTGGGGCCTGGTCTGTTCAGGTTGCGAACACTGATTAAATTTTTTGTTCTTTGCGATAGCATATGCTGGTGGTCACTCTATTCTCCGAAATTTGAATTTTAATGACTGTGTATTATAAACATGTTCCACTATTATTTGCAAAAAATACGAGCTGAGTTTCTTGTCAGTTCTTCTCATCTCGATATCATTCCGAACTGACGGTAGATTTGACATATCATAAGAGTCTGTAATAGACCTACACGAATAAAGATATTTTGAATTTGAATTTGAATTTGTTTCCTTTACACAACATGGTGTCAACGGTGTGTTAATTTAATAATAAATAGTCTATTACAGTTTATATTCTCTGTGAATAGTGAATTTTGAAAGTTATACATAAAGCAAGTATAGTGGTTGCTCCATATAACATTTATTTATTTTATTTATTTGATTTTAATTCGGATTACATCCATATTGTGTTAGTAAAAACTTATAAAACTATGTTAGTAACTTATAATATACATATACGTAGATATATTTAATTCATATATCTGTGTCCACGTCCAGAAGCACTGGGTCCACAATGCAACGTTATACAGTGCCTCTGGAGCGGACAATCAGGTATAACAGTTTTTAGGATGCTGTTTGAGCTCCCCCGAATTCTAGACATCAGTGATGCAGCTCTTTTACGCATTATCTAGCTTCAAATCCATCTACCTACCATACCATACCATTACATTTTTGTTTATTATTATATAATTATTATTAGTAATAGTTTGTTGAAATAAATAATTTAACGTTAATTTTCTAAGGATTGGCACTACACTAATTCCTTCATCCTCTCCTATTCCTTTGTTTTAAGTGCGAGCGAGAAGATTCACTTGTATCGAAAGTGACATATCGCGCTCGCGCGTCACTGTTAAACTGAACTTTCAGAGTTCAGTTTAACAGTGAACTGAACTCTGAAGTTGACATTGAATTCCCGCCTTGATCGCGTTTACGACCAAGTATTTTTTGTAGTTCGTGATAATTATTAAACACTTTAATCCACTGCATCGCTCTAGTGTGTTTAAGATCATTGTGTTTGTGCCATAGTTGTGAAGCAAGTCGCTGGGACCAGAAACACCGATAGCCGCCGCACTGTAACCTACGATTCAAAGGCACTGTGCCCCCTTCCTTACCAGAACTGTCTTTCTTTGTGTTCCATCCTCACAAGCAGTTCTCAATCACCAACCTAACAGTGTATCGTGTCAATCCACGTACCCGTCAGATTATTTAGATACAGTCCACTTAAATCAAAATCAAACAATATTTATTTCACCCGCACCGCCATATAGTAAATATAGATGGAGCATGCGAGGCCTCCGTCAGAATTGTCTGGATGGCAGCCCGTCAGCAGGGCTGACGCGTGGCAACTATGGAAAAGTTGTTTTTAAAGCATGATGATCTGCTTCTTCCTTATCCTATTTATTTCTGGTTGTCGTAATATGTTTTTTTCTGGATGGCAGCCCGTCAGCAGGGCTGACGCGTGGAAACGATGGAAAAGTTGTTTTTAAAAGCATGATCATCTGCTTCTTCCTTATCCCATTTATTTCTGGTTGTCGTAATATGTTTTGTCTGGATGGCAGCCCGTCAGCAGGGCTGACGCGTGGCAACTATGGAAAAGTTGTTTTTAAAGCATGATGATCTGCTTCTTCCTTATCCCATTTATTTCTGGTTGTCGTAATATGTTTTGTCTGGATGGCAGCCCGTCAGCAGGGCTGACGCGTGGAAACGATGGAAAAGTTGTTTTTAAAAGCATGATCATCTGCTTCTTCCTTATCCCATTTATTTCTGGTTGTCGTAATATGTTTTGTCTGGATGGCAGCCCGTCAGCAGGGCTGACGCGTGGCAACGACGGAAAACGCAGTTTAAGTTGTTTTTAAAAGCATGATCATCTGCTTCTTCCTTATCCCATTTATTTCTGGTTGTCGTAATATGTTTTGTCTGGATGGCAGCCCGTCAGCAGGGCTGACGCGTGGCAACGATGGAAAACGCAGTTTAAGTTGTTTTTAAAAGCATGATCATCTGCTTCTTCCTTATCCCATTTATTTCTGGTTGTCGTAATATGTTTTGCCTGGATGGCAGCCCGTCAGCAGGGCTGACGCGTGGCAACGATGGAAAACGCAGTTTAAGTTGTTTTTAAAAGCATGATCATCTGCTTCTTCCTTATCCCATTTATTTCTGGTTGTCGTAATATGTTTTGTCTGGATGGCAGCCCGTCAGCAGGGCTGACGCGTGGCAATGATGGAAAACGCAGTTTAAGTTGTTTTTAAAAGCATGATCATCTGCTTCTTCCTTATCCCATTTATTTCTGGTTGTCGTAATATGTTTTGTCTGGATGGCAGCCCGTCAGCAGGGCTGACGCGTGGCAACGATGGAAAACGCAGTTTAAGTTGTTTTTAAAAGCATGATCATCTGCTTCTTCCTTATCCCATTTATTTCTGGTTGTCGTAATATGTTTTGTCTGGATGGCAGCCCGTCAGCAGGGCTGACGCGTGACAACGATGGAAAAGTTGTTTTTAAAAGCATGATCATCTGCTTCTTCCTTATCCCATTTATTTCTGGTTGTCGTAATATGTTTTGTCTGGATGGCAGCCCGTCAGCAGGGCTGACGCGTGGCAACGATGGAAAATGCAGTTTAAGTTGTTTTTAAAAGCATGATCATCTGCTTCTTCCTTATCTCATTTATTTGTGGTCGTAATATGTTTTTCTCTTCCATTCATCCCTGTTCGCAGTCATCTCGTTATTCACTCCCTTTCTTACCATATCATCTTTCACACAGTCCATCCATCTCTTTTTCAGCCTTCCTCTGCCCTTATAAAATCCTTTTAAAAGCATCGAGGGTGTATAATTTATTTACACAACACAATGTAAATAAACTGGCTTTTAAATAAAAATAAAAACTGTTGAGTTTCTTGTTGATTATTTTTAATTGAATCTATATATTGAAAGGGACAGTCGAAAAAGAGAAATTCAAAAATTTTACGTTCATAAGCGGCTAAAATGTCCTACATGAATTATTGATTTTTAATTTTAATTTTTTTTTTTAAAAACGTACCGTTAACTCCGTTCTCCTTGATGATGGCTGATGGTGGCTTATCATCAGGTATTGGAGGTTCCTCTTCCTCATCAGAGCTGTCATTTCTCTGCACCTTTTTCGCAACTTCGATGTGTTGGCGGCCATACTGCAAATAATTATTAAAATTTTAATTTCAAATAGTTTTTTCTTTTTACTGTTGACTAGCTGTCTCCGCGACTTCGTCCGCGAGGAATCTAACAAAAAAGTTAATTAGAGAATTTTTCTAAAACAAAAGTACCCTAAGTTACTCCTTATTACATCAGCTACCTGCCAATAAAAGTCCCGTCAAAATTGGTCCAGCCATTTCAGAGATTAGCCGGAACAATCAGACAGACAAAAATTGTAAAAAATGTTATTTTGGTGTATGTACCATATTTATATTCATATGCATGTAGTAAAACCCGATTATTTCAACATTACAAACAGACACTCTGATTTTATTTATATGTATACATTGTAGTATGTAGGTAGTGAGTATACCGGTGAAATAATTGTACTATTTATTGTACACTAGCTACTCGTCCCGGCTTCGCCCGTGTGTACATGTATTATACATATAAACCTGCCTCTTGAATCACTCTATCTATTAAAAAAACCGCTTCAAAATCCGTTGCGTAGTTTTAAAGATTTAAGTATACATAGGGACGAACGGACAGCGACAACGACTTTGTTTTATATTATGTAATGATAATGATTACCAAGTTTCTTTGGTAGTGTGCTATATGGCTTATTAGTAACGCGTACATTCGACGCGGAGTAGTAACGTGGCCTGACTTTACACTGAACTTATTAGTAACGCGTACATTCGACGCGGAGTAGTAACGTGGCCTGACTTTACACTGAACTTATTAGTAACGCGTACATTCGACGCGGAGTAGTAACGTGGCCTGACTTTATACTGAACTTATTAGTAACGCGTACATTCGACGCGGAGTAGTAACGTGGCCTGACTTTACACTGAACTTATTAGTAACGCGTACATTCGACGCGGAGTAGTAACGTGGCCTGACTTTACACTGAACTTATTAGTAACGCGTACATTCGACGCGGAGTAGTAACGTGGCCTGACTTTATACTGAACTTATTAGTAACGCGTACATTCGACGCGGAGTAGTAACGTGGCCTGACTTTACACTGAACTTATTAGTAACGCGTACATTCGACGCGGAGTAATAACGTGGACTGACTTTACACTGAACCTAAATATATTGCTACGTTTACATTCAGTCGCTTCCTCTGCCACTTGCGCTGCTGGAAATATTGCCGGGCGATAAACGAGCGAGAGGACTGACTGCAAAAACACGCTGCCACTCGCGCTGCCAGTCCTTTGACTCGCGCACGAAATACCGACAATCGAGGGAGCGCCGGGCAGCGCGAGTGGCAGCGCCAATGGCATGGGAAGTGTTTCCACTCGTGTTTACACTCTCGCGCTGCTCACTTCCCTGTTGAGCATATGTTATCTGGAGAGATACTAATGGAAGGGAGTGTTGTTAGATTTCTTTACCATTATGTTTTATTAGTTAAGTATCATTTAGAAATAGTCAATAGGTCTTTTATGGGAATAGGTATAAAAATTTACAATAAGATACCAAAGGATATATTGGAAATACCCTTAAATAAATTCAAAACATCTGTTAAATCATATTTACTGAGCAAAGCCTATTACTCACTAAACGATTACTTGAATGACGAGCGTGCATGGCAATAGTTGTTCATGCACTGGATTTTCACTTAATGTTAGACATAGACACCTATATAAATATACATTGTAAATAAACTGGCTTTAAAAAAAAGTAATTCAATTGAGTTTCTTGCCAGTTCTTCTCAATTGGATCTATATACTGAACTGGATGGTAGGGGGAAAAAATTAAAATTATAATGTAAAAAATTTGACGTTCATAATGCTAAAATGTCCTACATGAATAAATGATTTTTCATTTTTTTTTTTAATTTTGAATTAATTTAAAATAATATACGGAACTTTCAGATCACAAGTTTGTTTCGTATATACCGAATTTTTGAATTTTTACTTGAATATTTAGTGTCAATATTTGCTACACTCAATACAGAGAGGTGTTTTTATATGTTTGTAGCGTTTGTCCAAATATTTGATTGTTAAATATCGTATGTTTAAAACTAAACTGAGCTAACAAAACTTACAAATTATTGGAAATAGACCTAATAGTGATAAAATTAAGATCGATATTGCAAATTTTGAGTTAACTGCACTTTATTTTTAAAACTTATGTTAATTTTTACACTTACTTGTCTTTTAGAATAAAAGTCAATATAAAAATTGCAACACTGAATGTACCAGGACAACATGAAGTAACAGATATATAGAAGAATTAAATCTTTACTGAATTATTTGTATAAAAAAGGACACGTGATCCAAACGTCAAAAGGCAAACCCAAACGGTCGTGCTATCAGTCGAGTCGTATGCCCATCGACATAAAATTTGAATATTTTAACAATGAAAGTACCAGGATAACATGAAGTAACAGATAGTTTGAAAGATTCAACTACTAAACTATTATTTGTATAAAAAAATACCGACACGTCATTCAAAAGCCAAGGCAATCACCAAAAGGTCATGACATCAGTCGAGTCGTATGCTTATCGACTTCATATCTAGTTTTTATATAATTGAAGTACCAGGACAACATGAAGTAACAGATAGTTTGAAAGATTCAACTACTAAATTATTATTTCTATAAAAAAATACCGACACGTCATTCAAACGTCAAAAGGCAATCAGAAAAGGTCTTGACATCAGTCGAGTCGTATGACAAACGACATAAAATCTAGTTTTTATATTATATAATATTGCAACAATGAAACTACCAGGACAACATGAAGTTATAGATGGTTTGAAGAAATAAATCTTTACTGAATTATTTGTATAAAAAAAATACGGAAACGCCATCCAAAGGTCAAAACGCAATCACAAATGATCATGACATCAGTCGAGTCGTATGCTTATCGACTTCAAACCTAGTTTTTATATAATTGTACAACAATGAAAGTACCAGGACAACATGAAGTTATAGACAGTTTGAGGGATTCAATCATAATTAAGTACAGTATTGAATCATTAATATTCATACAAAAAAATACATGTCATCCAAACGTCATACATTCAAAGATCATACAAACTTGACAAACAATAGAAATAATGAATTCTTCACTATTATATCATTATTTAAATGTAGTCGACTTTGACATTTTAATTACTGCGTTTTTGTTCAAGTCAGTATGTTCTATATAGGAATAAATGTGTACAATATATCTTATATATAAAATTCTCGTGTCACAGTTTTCGTTCCCATACTCCTCCGAAACGGCTTGACAGATTCTCATGAAATTTTGTCACCGGGACAGCTAGTCTTTATATATAAAAATTACGTGTCACGTTGTTTGCCCGCGATGGACTCCTAAACTACTGAACCGATTTCAAATTTGATTTGCACATTGTGTGCAATTTGATCCAACTTGAAAGATAGGATAGCTTACATCTCAATTTATAGTCGCAATATTATTTTATTCAAGAACCTTAGACACAGCAACGCGTGGCCGGGTCTGATAGTACTTATATTTCGGACTACTCTAATGCTATTGGCCGCAGCTGGCCTTTACAGCTTCACCGGACGTCAGGGGGCGAGTGCAGATGGCACCCCAAACCAATGGAGCGGCCTGCCTGACGGATACGACTTTAGTCTGAGGGCACCACTAGTGGTTCGAAACTCGGCTCAGGCCGTCAAAATATCGATCCCCGTTTGAATTGGACGGGGGTCGATCGGAGGGGAAATATACATAACAACTAGTTGCCCAAATAAAGAAAAAAATATTTAATAATAAAAAATTACAATTATCAACCTTTATTTCTTATTATATTTGACTCCCTTAAGGGTAACATTTTTACAAACTTTGAATGACATATTTATTTATATTTAATCAACGGCCTAAAAAATAAATTTCAACCTCTAGCTTCAAAAATAACAATGCTTCCATACGAACTTTCAGAAAGGGGTTGTAAAGGGTTGAAAGGGTTGAAAGGTTGAAAGGGATCTCCCCTTTCAACCCTTTACAACCCCTTTTCGCATTAAAAAGAAGCCTATGTACTTTCTCAGGGCCAATACCATCTGTGTATCATTATTTCATTTCATTTAAATCGCTTCAGTAGTTTTGCGTGAAAACGAGTCAGACAGACAGAGTTTCTTTCTTATATATAATATTAGTTAGGATTTATACGCCAAGGGAGAAAGATTGATATTACAAAAACCACTAGGTCCTAATTCTAAAGGAACTATAACACTATATTAATAATTTCGTCAAAGCGTACGGTAGACTCGAACGTAACCTTATGTGAATAACAAAACATAAAAAAAATATTGATTTCGAGTCGACAACATATATCGGCAAAATTCGGATTATGGAGTATTTCGTTAAATTCTAATGACACTGACAAACAAACCGCAGTCGCCATCTTTTCATTTCACTAGCATTTTCTTCGGTCGTTGACGTTTCGCGAAAATATTGTTTTTGATACTTTTTTATGATAAAAGAGTATGTGTTTTTTCTTTAAACCTGAAATTGGCTGATTGCGAGACAAATTTGGCAATTTATTTTTATTAATTTGTTTTACGGCTCTGGATACAAGTTCTTTTTAGCCCAACTTAAAGATTTATAAGAAAAAAAAATAGTTTAAAAACTTTTGCACCTTTATTTACTATATTTATTAAACACAATGAACGAAGCGTTACAAATCTATGCCTTGCTTACTTTTAATATTCCATGAGAACCGATGACTACAGAAATATCTACCCATATTTCACCCGAGCGAAGCCGGGTTTTCATCTAGTAACATTATATTTTTCGGGCGAAGCCAAGATACGTTACTAGTATTTATATTCAGATTAAGAAAATGCGCAACCGACTATATGCCAAGGGAGAAAGACTGATATTACAAAACCCACTAAGTCCTAATTCTAAAGGAACTATAACACTATATTTTTCGTGCGAGGCCAAGATACGTTACTAGTATTTCTACATATGAAGAAAATACGCAACCGTGTTGTGTTGTGCTTAATTTATGTTGACCTTAA